AAGAGTTTACGACGCTTCGCAGGAATGCTATTGAGGCTGTATTTCTAAAACTATAAGTGCGGACATTCGGTCTAACGCACTACAAAACTGTCTTTAGCCTCTTCAATTCAATAGCGTCGGCGCCACGTGAGTCGTAAATTCTTCTAACTTTGCTGTCTGAGAAAACGTCTTTTCTCCGACATCTGCTAGCCGCTACATACTTCTTCAAATGTCCGAATATTTTTGCCACGCTACATTTCGACATAGTTCAGTTTATTGTTTGATATTAAGAAAAGTATGTGCAATAAATAAATAAAATTTATGTTACTATAAACTATAATAGATGTTCTATTATATTATTAAAAAATTAGTCCAAATTTACTATTATAAACAATCGAAATTCACAACAATATTTTGAATAGCATGATGTCCGAATATTAATAAGAATCACTGTACGTAGAAAATGAAAAATGTGTTTTCATCAGTAAAACGGTACCGTATCGGTATATATTTCCGTATTTTTACCGTTGTGGACATCAAATATCGATACATACGTATGAAAACATACGTATGAAAATACCGGTATGAAAACCGAAAAATACCGTCTTATACCGGTATTAAAACCGATTTCCCAAATAGCGGTCACGACAAATCAAGGCCGCCAATTCGAATCGTAACTCTTTAACGAGTTAACGCGATTAATTGGGGCCTCACATCTGAGGATAACCGCATATCATCCGCAAGCGAACGGTATGATGGAAAAATTTCACCGTCAGTTGAAAGCAGCAATTAAATGCCACGAAACGGAAAATTGAGGAGATGTTACCCAGGATTCTACTCGATATCCGCATCTCGGTAAAGGAGAATTTGAAGACCTCAGCCGCAGAAATCGTCTACGGCAGAGGAATTCACTTACCCGTGGTGAATTTTTTACAAATAACAGTAGGCTAGCTCATTCTGATTTTACGAAGAGGCTACGCGAGAATATTAGTAAAATCAAACCGGTACCGGGAACCCGACATGGGTCGCATAAAACATTTATTTACAAAGAATTAAACATTATACCGTGGATATTCCTCCGACGTGACATTGTCAGGGGTTCCTTACAGCCCCGTACGATGGTCCTTTCAAAATTATAGAACGTGGCAACAAGACATTTGTAATCGACATCTATGGCAAGAGCTCTCCATAGATAGACTAAAACCCGCTGACAACCAAAATCTTTCAACTACCCGACCACCCAACAAACCATCCGACGAACAGACTGCCACCGTTGGACAAAAAAGCAGAAACAAGGAAAACACGATCCGGCAGATATGTAAGATTTCCGGATCGATTTCAAGCAGGAAAGTAGACAGCATTCGGAATTAGTCACGGACAAATGTTTGGGGGAGTAATGTAGGGGACACGACCCAGGATGCAATACTGTCAAGGCCATGAGGTAATTGTCAAAAAACCCTCGTGGCTCTGACCGTGCAGACTCCAGTAAAACAATAAACTTCCCGATCCTTCGATTGGGAAGAAATACAAAAGGAGTCCGGTGGAGTCGGTATCCAACCAAAGGTAAAGCCCGACTCCAACGCACATTTCTTATTAGTTTTTCAACATCGAAGGTCCACGTCCACGTTACGTGAGTATAACTCCGCAGTACTGCCTGTGCGCACCTCTTACTTCTCCCCTCGCGAATATTTGTTTTAATTATTTAATGTTTGGACGATAGTTCCTTACTGTACATTATTATAAATACTTCTGTTGAAATAAAACTTTATAAAACACTAAAATATCGTCATATATCTCGCAAAATCGATCTGAATGTGTTTACTAAATTTTGTATAAAGAGACACATTATGTAGTGCAAATTATATTTTTGCAGATCAATACTAAATGTAGGGATCAAGACTAAACTTATACTTTACAATTTCACAGAACATTATTAGAATGCGATAAATTTTTTTATACGGTAGCTTCTTGACGTAAAAATAAGTATGTATATCTTTCTCTGATTTGTACTTTGGTCCTTGACCGAACCTGAAGACTGCTCATACCGTCGAATTCATACATAAGGATATAGATTTCAGATTTCCTATTCAAAGCATACTTGCTGAAATGCATTCTAAGAGGATTTTGTCTAATACTGTTCTGTTCGTTAGGAAACGAAAAAACACAATTTTAAATTTAAGATCAGGAAAAGGATTTTTTATAAACAATTATTTTTAATTCTTTTTAATTTCTTTTATTATTATTTTTATTTTTAAAAATTTTTTTAAAATTTCTTGAAATATAAATTTATTTTTTATAGAAAATATAAATTTATTTTTTATTTTATAATAAATAAATAAATAATACAAATTTTCTTATTTTTAAAATATTTTCTTTTTCATTTTGATTGTTTATCAAATATTTAAAAACTATTCAACTCTTATTAATTCAAAAATAACTCACTTTCCACTGTAATCATTGATAAAGTAAAATTTTCATGAATTATAAATAATTTTTCCAAAACAATATTGAATCACGAAACTTGAACGAATTTTAACAAAAAAAATAGAAAAAATTATACTATGTTTTATTTATATGTAGCCTTTCTTTCATCTTAGTTCTCCTATTATTTATAATGCAGCGATAATGAATGAAAGAATAGAAATAGAAGCACTAACAATGAATGAAATAATAGAATAATACGTCCATGTCATCAATAATACGTCCCATTGGCTTTAACATTTATTATTGTATTTTTGTAACTGTTTTTAAATGCAATATTTATATATCTATCACGAAGATTTGTCGAAAAGAGAATTAACATTCAACAAATTATATTTATGAAAAGCGATGATATTATTTGCGTACTTTGTCATTTGGTTTTTTCATATTCAATATAACGGATATGAGAAATTAAAAAAATTATTTTTGTTTTATTTAATTCAAATATGAAAGAAGCATTTTCTTAAAAATAAAAAATATGGATTAAGTTATTTTTGATATCATTTAAATTATTTTATTTAATTCTATTTAAATTTTATTTAAATAAAAATTATACTTTTAATTCATTATTTAAATAAAAATTTGCCCAAATGATTCGAATACAGGTAGTCGATACTTCGGGTCGAATTGAATAATTTAGGTTGAGCTCGGGCGAATTCGGAAATACGAAAAATTCTCTAACGGGTCTGTTTCATTAGTTTAACCATTTCGTCGAGTCGACGGACAGAACAGCAACAGAAATGTGGTAACCATGTGAAACTTTTAGGTTAGGCAACTACGCTTTCATCAGGAAAACCGAAATTTGCCTGTGTCCTTTTAACTCATTTTTTCTTTTGTCATTATGCACAATAGCAAAAGCAATTGGATGAAAGTGTAAATTGACTATTCTCTTATCGATTTCGGTGATTTTTGAATGTATTATGAAGATATTTTGAACAGTTTTTTCCTGTAACGCGTATGTTGGACTTTGTTAGAGGCTTTGCTCTTATTAATCATTAAGGATATCGATTTTTAAATGATATTTAGGAATCATCGAAATTAGTGAAGGAGTGGTTAATCTACAAATTCACCGGTAATCGAAAAGAATGAAGGAAAATACAAATGAGGAATGTTTTAAACTCATAAAATGTTAATACTAACATATACATTATTAAGTCATTCATACTTTATACCATCTTTATTAACAATTTATAACAATAAATGATTTTGGCCGTCGAAAATGCAACTTAGTAAGTTCATCTTAATAAATAACATTGTACTATAAAAAAGAAAATATGTATGGTATCGTTCAAAAAAATAAATTTGACTTCGAAATTTCGAAACGGATGGATTTTGGAAGAAATAATTTACAATACATAATGTGCTTCTTTATTGCAAACAATATTTATAGAAATATTTTAATAAGGTCAAACTTTCATAAAATCGAGTTTACGAGATAAAGATAATTCATTCAAGTTGTGAATTTACAAATTTGTAAATAAAAAATCTAATTATATTGTTCATAAAAATATCATGTTTCAATAAATTTTTCTAATACTTTTAAATAGATGTTAATAGTCAAATATATACTAAATTTTTCATCTCAGTTTTCATTAATCTCTGTTTTAAATCGTTATATTATTTCACTGATGAATCGTTATATTCCTTCATCCATGTTCAATTCAATGAATAATTCTCGAAATAAATCTGGCAACATTGTCCATATTTTTCGATTTTCGCGGTACAAAACTTGCCTGAATCGATACTGCAGGATGTAACACGAAAATGGTAACAGGATCAACAGACCCCAGAATCATTGGCCGAAAAAATACATTGTACGTAAGATCTATTTATATACCTTGTCTATGCTATATACACTCAATACTTTCATACAAAAATTTTCAAGTTCTTCGTTTGTCGTTAAAGTGTAATTAGATATTTAAATGATGATATCAAACTTTATCAAACAGTGGTTTATTCAGATTAATTTATTTTGTATATTTATTTTACAAACTATAAGTTGTGAAAAATTAAATGCTCGCATTTCATTAAAAGTACAAGGAATGGGTTTTCATAGGTTAGATTATATATAGAAGTGTAACAAAAGAATGTCTATTATTCAATTTAATTAGATAGGATTTAATTACATATTGATAATTTTAATTAATTATAATCTTGTGTAAAAAAAGTTATGTAGCGTTAAATGTAGTTAATTATATAAAATTAAATACTAATTAAAATCAATTTTTATGTTATGTTCAAATATAAAAATGTAAGAATTTTAGTTCCAGCAATTCTATTATATAATTATATTAATTAATGTATTAAAATTAACAAAATATTTTATTCTATAATTAATAAAAAGTTTCATTTACAGAGATTTAATATATCAAGTACACGTTGATCAATTTATAGAAGAATGTTACGTAGCTATTTATTTACAACTTCCATCTGCTTTGTATGCTAATATCAATGAATTAACTCATTTAAGGAGATTTAATATTGTAAGTTAAAAAATAAAATATGATTGAAATGGGACATAGATATGAGGTACATAAAACAAATTGCCTAAATATCTCAGTTATTGATAATAGAATCAAAAATTTCAAACTAAAAGCTTGCGTTGAGGTACACAATCTGACATTTTTTATAGGTAGACGCATAGAGGAAATATGAAAGTTAATTTTTTAAATGGATTTATATAATTTTTAAAGCATTAATAAGTCTAAGTCAGCATTTTATATAAGAAATATTAACTTGTTTATCTCTGAAAACCATTGGTAAATATTTTAAGTTTAATTATTTAATATTAATTTTAAATGTATCATATAAAGAAAAGGAAAGATATAGATATTCTTATGTTTGTTGTTTTTCATAAGACAGATTTTACAAAATTGAAATATCTGCTATGCTAATAGTTTTTAGACACAAATAGGTTATAATACTTTTTATAGAAAATGTTAAAAGATGGATTTGCTAATACTTTAAAAATTATATGATTCTATTTTAAAAACAAAATTGATTGTTATATGTATGCTCTCTATGCTTCCTATCAAAAAACTATTATTATATATATATATATATGATTGTGTCCCTTGAGACCAAATAAGTTAAGTTTGAAGGTTTTTATTCCATCACCAATAATATATATTCAAGCAACTTGTTTTAGATGCTTCACATAAATTATTACTATATATTTTCTTTTCTAAAGTAATATATATATATAATTATTTTACTTTAGAAAAAAATAATATAACAAATATAAAATCTGATTTGAATCAAAATAATTTTAACTGTTTTTGTAAAATGTAAATTATTTCTGTACTGTTTTAGAATACAATATGTGTTCATGAAAAGGCTAACATTGAGTTATTTGCAGAAAAAGCACGAATACAAAATGTAATTATTTGTTCAAGTTTAACTCGTGTAGGGTGTGCTTTAAAACTTCCAATACATCAACGTTATCAATATGCTAATGATAGTAATAAATATATGAATATTACTTTACTAAACCCAATATTGCTATTAGGCTGTAGAAAAAAAATTGAAGGCTATAGAGTTTCTAAACTTGATTTGTGCTTTCCATGTGTAACAATTGTACCTAAATGGAGAGAGATTCCATATGTCATGGTAAAAAATAAACTTTATTATTAAAATAGTAGAGATATTTTATTTTTATATAGACAAATATTTTTCATATCCATTTTGCAGGATAAGAAAGATCTATGGACAATACCAGTTGGTGAGACAACTATGTTATATCTAGTAACTTATATTACATTTTTATTAACAATATTATGTACACTATATCTTATACAAACAATTTGGAAATCTGTACCAAAGCAACATCTAAAACATGAATGAAGTTTTAAACAAACTTGTTTGCATAATATAATTATCAATCATTATTTCATAATAAATATTAAATATAATATACATAAATATACACAAACATTTATAAATAAAATAGTGAAAATAATAATACGCCCATTAAATCACAGTATTTACACTACATTTTATAAATTACGTATTCTTCAGTATCATAACATTATCACAACTTTTTTCCTAAATCCATCTTTTCAGTATCTTTTACTTTTTGCACATGTTCATTTTCCACTGATGATTCAGTTGCAATTGCATTCATAGAAATATTTTTTTCCTTTATGGGATCATTCCATTGCTGAATTTTAGATGTACCAAACACAATAAAAATAAAATTTCCAACAAAATATATTGCAGATGTTAAAAAGAACATATTTCTCCATTCTTCAGGACTTTTCTAAAAATTTAAGAATAAAAAATTATCAACATTTGGATTTGTTATTGTTCACATATTATTACATTTTAATAATTATAGTTAATTATATTAATAAACCATCAAAACATTTTTATATATAGATACTATATAGATATTAAGCAATCTAGAATAATTTATAAAAATTTTTAAATAATTAGAAGAATAAAAGCAATCTAGAAAAATAAATTTATGTTCCAAGAAATTTTATTGCAAATTCACCTCAAATTGTCAAGTTATTATTTAATGATATACATATTTAATTTAAAACAATAAGCTGTTATTGCATCTTATGTATCATATAGAATCAAAAAAGTGAACAGTCTTTTAATATCTGAAATATCATTTTAAAACTGCTTCTAGTTGTATTAATTATATATTGCATTCAATATATTACAACTAAATAATGATGGAAAAAATACAATATAAAATTATTATTATGACAAAAAAATTAAATTTTTATCATTCTTTTATTAAAATTGTATCCAATTCAATATAGTTTGTTCATTTTTATTTTATATAACTTTCAGGACTTTAAATTTGCCAATAATAATATAACTAATATAATTGCATACAGAAAAATAAGTTATTTTAGATAATAATAAATAAAAATATAATGTAAATTATACATACCGTATCCTTAATGATAATACTGGCAACTAGTGGAGCCAAAATGCTACAAATATTTGCCACTGTATTTGTAATACCCATCAAAGAACCAGCAAAATTTGGACTAAGATCCATATGGTTAACATTGTATCCACAATAAATAGCAACATTACTAGCAACAGCAAATATTAAGAGCGCCTTTGCTATTCCAGGTTGTTCTTTATTAACATATCCAAGACCAATTAATGTAACCGCTGGAAACCATTCACCAATTGTATTGCAAATCTTTCTTGATGCTTGTACAGTTAAGATATTTCGTTTAATAAGAAGATCCGAAATATAGCTAATTGGGAAACTGCAAATCCATGCTGTTAAATATGGTAGTGCACTCCATAGGCCATTCTAAAATAAAATATAAAATACAAAATACAATAAATTACAAAGTTTATATAATTTAAATATTTAATTTTAAATTTTGGTTCAAACATTTACAAAAATTAATTTTTCATTTCTTAACTAAAAATCCAAAGAAAAAAACACTGCGTTTTGTCTGTTTTTTCATTATAACATAATTAATTAAGCCCTATAGCTAATAAATCCCCCCCCCCCCTCTCTATTCTAACTTCTAAGATGTACTATTAAAATTTCAATTTCAGTTAGATGTAATCACTGGGTTCTTCAACTAAGGGAGTTTAAAAATAATGAAATATGATTACAATCTTTAAAAAAGTACATTCTCATGAATTTTATTATATGTATTAATAAATTAATAGACAACAATTTTAAAAATAAGTTAAAAAAGATCCAATAAAAATAAAAAATAATTATATTAATTTAAATATGCTAAACAATTGGATAAACTTCGTACAATATTATATAATATACCTATGATATACGTATATAAAAATCAACACGAATATGTTAAAGGATTTATTGTTACTCACGTTTTTTATATCAGTATTAAAGACTGATCCAATATAAGAAGGAATTTTGGTTAAAAGCATCCAGAAACCCCAAGTATGAGCAGATTGAGTAACCAATAGTGCCCACATTGGAATACAGGTTAATATTTTAATCCAAGGAATTGGTAATTTCTACAAAAATATTATTACTGTGATTTTATTTAGTTTAAATATATGTGTAAAATATGACATATGTTTCTATTTTTTCTTATATAAAATACCTTTCTTTTTAAAAACAATAATAATGGAATGTAGTATATTCTGCAATTAAAATTATTTGTATTTACATTTTTCTTTTGTCTCTAGTATGATATATATATATATATATATATATATATATATATATATATATTATGAGAGTTTAATGAGAAAAATTACCATGCATCAATTTAGTTTCTATATTTAGTCTCTATGTTTAGTATATGTAGATATTATATACTATATATTCTTACCTCTTCTGTTTCTATTATTCCAAGACTACTTTCAATATATTCTTTTTCATCTTGTGATATATTTGAATGTTCGGCAGGTGATTCTTTCCCAATAACATAAAATAAAACACTGGAAGTAATAGATATACAGCCCCAAACATAAAAACAGCTAGGCCATCCAAATTGAGACGCTGACAATTGACCAGTGCTCCATAAACAAAGTACATTTCCAATCCAGCCTCCGGCATACACAAATGTTGCTAAAAATTGCATACAACAAATACATATATCAAATATTCTCAAATAATATCAAATATATTCTTCATTTATTTTTTCATATATATAAAATTAGCATCTGTTTAATTTTATCACTCATTCCAATAAACTGATTTTACTAAATTTTCAATTCATTATTTGTATTAATTATATCATTTCATTATACACAACTATGTACATATACACAAGGTATGTAGAAATTGTATATTTAAACCATAATATAACCTTTGAATAGATAAAGATTTGTTAAAAAAAATTATTTAAAAAATTGATCTTGAAATTCAGGATTAATTTCTTTATGTTTACATTATATAGTATTCATCACGAGAAATAAAAGTCTCAAAGAACAATGAATTGTTCTTTTAGAAAATTTAATCGTAATGTACAAGTTAATATTTTATTAGTTCTTATATAAATATTATATTAGTTTTTATTTGCATTATTTAATTTAGTATGCATTGTATTTGCAATCAAGATGAAAGTAAATAGCGTATTATTAATAACGAAATACAAAATGAAACTGTTCAAATGTTGATGCGTAAAAGCCAATCTTGTAAAAATATTTTAAGTAAAAATTATAAAACTGATGAATTGATTTAATTCAGATTGTTGGAATTAAAAAAGTAATATATTAAATGTGTCAATAAATATCATTAATAGTTTGCGCTAATAATTAAAATTTAGACTTCAATTACTAATACTTACAAATTCTTCCTCTTTCTTCCATAGGCACCCATTTTGAGAGTAATGTATGAAGACACGGTAGAACAGTGCCTTGAAATAAACCGGCGATTACTCTAGTAACACAAACTATTTCCCATCCACAATATTTAGCAACTACGGGAATTAAAAGCGTTAGCAAACCACATGCGAATTGTGCTAGTGAAAAAAGTTTATGAGCTCCCCAATCTCGTGCCACTATACTGCCAATAATTTGTGTGCACACGTATCCCCAGAAGAAAGAACTCTGAATTATATCCTTAATCCTGTCATCCCATGGAAATTCCTTCAATGAAAATGATTAAAACTGTAAAGAATAACTTCAAAAATAAAATATTTTTTAACTTCTACTTTTAATAATTATTATTGCAATATTTATTAAAATTAATATTATTTATTTAATTAAACATATATATAAACACGCACTTTCACGCACAGACATAACATATACGCAATTATACATATATATATGTATAATTAATAATTAAATTGAAGTAGGTGCATTTGTATTTGAATTTTGTAGATATTTGTGTATTTTATAATTTTATAATTTTAATGATCATAGAAAATAACAGATATTATTCTAACTATGAGACTTATTAATTGCATCTATTATTCAAACTATAAGTATATAATGTAGTAGTCAGTATCACTGATCATAGATATTAATTTTCTCTTAATCGATACAGTATAAAACTATGCATGATTAATTACAAAATTATTCTGTAAAATATTAATGTTCTGTAAATATTCTGTGGTTAATGGAAAATAATTAGTAAGCAGACTGAAAAATAAGAAAATGGTCATACTTCAAATTCAGGATTTGCAGACTGAGCATTAGTCATTGCTTCTAACGTCACTGATGTAGTTACTCTAATAGCATAGCAACAAAAAAAACCTAATGCCATCAAAATGCCCTGTGTGTGTCTACATCCATACCATGCTGTAAATTAAATAAAATTGTAAATATTAAATAGAATTTTTAATAACTAGAAATAATTAGACACATTAATTAAGATAGCAAGAAAGGAATAACATGCATATGTACATGTAGATAATTTAATGTCAATTAAATTAAATATAATAGAAAATTTAATGTCAATACTTTGAATTTTAAACTATTATTCTAAATAAATAATATATTTACTACATAAAAAAGGTTATAAAAAAATATTAATTAAGAAATAATTATTTATGTAACATGCCCGTTTTTGAAAAGGCTTGTATTTGAAATTAAATACTAATATATATTAGAATACGCAGGAAAATTAATTTTTATTTTCCACAAGATTAATTACAACTTCATCATTTCAGTATATAATTATAACAAAAACTTTTATTAAGGAATTCTTTGTAGATCATTTTATTTAATTTTATTTAATTCTATTATACTTATGATAGGTATGACATTCTAAATACTTATCTATTTTTTATTTTATTCATATGTCTAATGTACGTTATATGTCTAATATCTAATGTATGTTAATATGTAATTGCATAATGTTATTAAAGTAAAATAACTTATTTATCCTAAATTGATACATTAGAAATTATTTTTATCAATAATATCCAAATGTTTGTTTCCAAATGATATTCGTTTACATATATTTTTCTTAAGGTCTATTGTTATATGCAGAACTGCGTTTGAAAAATATATATATTTTTCATGTAACTTTATTTTTTTCATTTCACCAGTTTTCATTTTCTCCCATTAAATCAGTAATTCTTAACAATATACAAGTGTCCTGCGATATTATGAAAATTTACAAGTTTCGTAGAGAAAATACAAGAGTGATTTATTATTAGATCTATTATTAGATTTATTATTAGATTTATTATTATCGTATAAATTTATCTTTTTTTATCTGTCGATTTACATAATTAAATAATATTCTTTAAAAACTAAAAAATGATTAGTTTCTACTATTGCTGAAATTGATTTAAAGAAGTTTTACCAAAAAGTTATTTTATAGTTTTTTCAAATATTTTTTATTACTTTTTTGTTTATTATATAATTTTTAATATAAGATATGAACATGCTTATTTTTAAAAAGTGTCAAATTTATGATCTTACTAATTTTAGTATTCTGCAAATTTTTCTTATAATCAAAAATTTTCCGTGGCTTCAAAAAAACAAACTGCTTTAAATAAATGCTAATAAATGCTAAATAAACTTTCACATAGACTGTTAAAATTCTTTTTTCTGTAACATATTTATTTATGTTAGATTACATTTATTTTCTCTCTTTTTCCTTTTTCCTTCCGAGTTAATTAATTAATTTTGCTATAATAAATTTTTTACTGCACTTTCTATTATCTGTGTCATAAGTTTTACCAGTAGTTGTTTGATAGTGAGTTATCGTATGATTAAACTCTGATCGAATTCTTAAATGATATAATTTATCAATCGAAATAAGCTATTGCATTCCAGAATCGTGCAATGCAAAGAATGCGGACGAATAATTCGTTTATTTCATATTTCTAGGACATCACGGGAAATCTGACATTGACGAACTGATGGCGTCATGTCTTGGAATTCAAAACGATTCGTCACGTATTTATGCCATGCACATTAAACAAAATACATTATGTTCTTAAATATCTTTGCTATTAACGAAGATTTAATACCGACAAGCAGATTTTATGAAGAAAAATATTTCTATACGTATGTTAATATAAACATTAGTATTGTTGATTGGATATTAATAAATAATAAATTAATTAATATTAATTGTATGTATATTAATGTATGTACATAAAAGAATAATAAAAATACTAACATTACAAAATTATTTCAGATATTATAACAAATAAATATAAGATATCAAACATGTTAAACAGTCAGGAATTAACGATCTGTTCTCATTGTATGTTTAACATTTCATAAATATATATATATAATATTTCATAAATGTATTTACAAAAATAACAAATAAATTTGAGGATAAAAATATTTTCATACTTACTTATACATTAATAAAACACTTTCGATTAAACGAATTTGTTGACCATTCATAAATATAAAAAATGACACAAGAGAATAAAGACACGTGAGAAGCACAATTTTAAATGAGGACAAACGTCATCAATCTTCGCATATGTCGTGACAAATAAAATTTATCTTTTATCAATATCACTAAATCAAAATCAGTCATTGATCTTCGTATTTCGATTTTATCTTCTGGAATGAACAATTCCATCATTAAATTTTCTAAATTAATGTTATCAAATATACACAAGGACAAACAAAAGATCATTAAAAAGATCGTCAGAAATAAATCGATTATACGTATTTATTTTTATGATATATCTTTACATTTCTAAATCTGAAATTTATCTATGAAGAAATCATATTTGTTTCTTCAATGACAGCAACTTAATCCGAGATCATTATTCTTCGTGTTAACGAATTGAAAAGTATTAATACTTGAAATACTTCAAAATTGAAACAAATCGAATTAATGTGAAATGCTATATGTACATCAGGTAATAACATATATATTGTTATATGTAGTGTAGTTATGGTATATATAAAACCTACATATGTATGATAAAATAAGTTTAGCCTCAAATTTTAGATAAATACCTTTTGGTTTGGATGCCGATATCTGCATCCGTTCCGAGATAGAAATGATAGAAATCCTTTTTATCGCATAGGACATATTGTTGACAAAGATATTCGAGCGTGCACACAACTTGTCAGATAGGGTCGAGTTCAGAAGTAAATCGCAAAAAAGACTCTACAATCCATCACGGTCGATCGTGACTTTATAGTCCAACACCGAAAAGAGTTTCTCCCACTCTTATTTTTCAACTTGCATGTTCTGCATGCGTACACATTATAGTATATTATCACTTTCTTCCCTTATCTAATTCAAAAACGAGACACACACATTGTTCTAGAATACAATGATACTTTAAAATATTATAAGATTAAATATACAAATATATCAAATTTATATATATCAAACTACATATATGTGCATATTTTATGTATACATATATGTACAGGTATTTATTACGTTAAAAATAATAAATAACATAATAATTATATTACCGATCTCTTAAATAAAATTAAGTTAGGCAAAAATATCACTTAAAGAAATACTAGTCAAAGATTAAAATAATTCTTAATTACATTGTCAAATTTTGGATAGAAATCGGTACGATGATTTCACATCTTGAATTGATAAATCTTTACTGATTACAAAGCAAAATCTTGTTAAAACCATTATTGGTATTAATCAATATCTATATAGATAACTTACATATAAAAGTACTTACTATCCAAACAGTCATATTATTTCGTTATATCTAAATATTATATTTCCTAAAAATACAATAATCTAGATATTAATATGTTATTTTCATATTCGTTTACTTATGATCACATTTGTTTCAAGTATTCACAACGATGTTATTTTGATGAAAAAATAATATTTTAATTATAATTATTACAATATAATTCATTTTATTCGATACGGACATTTTTACACGTATAACATAATATAGAATAATAATTAATAAATCTCTCAACTTCGTTTTATTTCACAAGCCGAAGAGAAACTTCTTAATTGTTAGCTTATTGAAATTTTATCTTTATTCCTATAATTACTGTTCATATCTTATAAATGATTGTTATTCATGAAAGCGCAATGACCTATTAATATAAACATTTCTAAATGATAAATTAAATGCACCATACATATTTATTTATAAACGAATATTCAAATAAATATTTTTGTTCTATTGTAGTTACAAATATTTTTACTTTTAGCAAACATATTAATTTGAATTTTTTTAACATTTCTGTGAATATTATCTATGAATATTGTATATGAAAAAATATTTATAATAATAAATAATTTAGCTCACCAATTAAAAAATTGATTTTACAATTATTGAAATTATAACAAAATAATTAAAAATAAAAATAATTATAATCAAAATAAATTAATTAAATATTACAATGTACTTAAAAAATAGTAGCTATTATAGTATATATATATATACTATATAATTGTGCAAATAAGTGCATATAATAGAAAACAAAAGATTTAATAAAAAGAGTTTAATAATGTAAATCGTTATATTAGCTCATCTAATAATTTTAACCAATAAAAATTCTTATTTTATCAAAATAAATATGTTTTTTGTATACATATACATATGTGTAAATATTATTATATAAATATTTCATTTTATTATATAGATTTTCATTTTATTATATAAATTTTATTATATAAATTTACTCATGTTTTTTTATTTTTATTTTAGATATACAAGCATTACTAATATGCTATAATATAAGAAAATTACTTACTTAGCCATTCTTTATAAAATATTAAATTATTTATATAAATAATTTACTGAAAATTATCATCATACAGCTAACTTGTTCTTTACAACAAAACAACATTATTGCTAGATTTCTTTCTAACATCAGTTTGAAATTTTGAAAAGTATTATCTTTGTTTAAATTCACATAATATGTACTGAAGTTTTTATTTAAATAAATCAGTATGTGTGTGTTAAATAAAGTAAGATATTAATATTTATTTAATATATAGTAAATGTAATATTGATATTTATTTAATTAATATTTATTTAATATTGATATTTATTTACAAAGTAAAAAAATAAACTTATTTTTTATGAAACGATATATTATGATTTATTAATGATTTTATGTTTTTTTTTCATTCGATCTATTTTAAAGGGTGTAGTATTTTAAGGGTATAGAATAATCGTGATTTTGGCTCAATAGAAATGAAAATAAGAAAAGCGAATTACTTATACATCCCTCAACATTATTGTGAACTAATAGAATGTAGAAAAAAGAATCTATTTTTGGTAGAACGAATGAAGCAGAAGGATTTTATTTCAACAAAATAGCTAAAAAACTCAGTAGCAAGAAAGACAAAAAATATACGAAAATATTCACTTAGTTCCATTATACATTACAATTAGAGCACTAACAGAAGAAAAATATAAAGATATTAAGGATTTACTACTCTACAGTCCACCAATTTATCAGAAATATTTTAAATCACTCAAGATTCAAAATCTCATTTCCGAAGGATGAAAATGAGAAGAAAAAAATCAGAAATAATAAAAATTAATTATTTAGAAACATAACTATAAAATTAGAATATAATTAAAGATTTGATTAAAATTTTTTTTATAATAAAATTCGTTCTTTTTATTGTTGTTGTAAGTTAGTTTTAAGACATTTAGTTAATTTTGAAAATGATCTAACAATAAGTCACTTCAACTTTCAATCATATTTCCTTATAAGTTACACACAAAATTTCACAATCATAATAAATTCTTATTTTATAAGACCAAATATTTCCTGAAATATTTTGTTTCATAGTATAAAAATTTTTTTTAATTTATTCAAACGCAAACCTTTAAATATCTCGAAACGAGAAATATATGACTTAGGCCATTTTCATAATCACCAATATATATGTATAAAAAAATCGAAAAAGGTTTGTTCCAAGCATTCTTGAATTTTTGAACGGTCCTTTATATCTGGAATAATAAAATTAATGAATTATTGGGAAGATGTATATTGAATTATATGCAAATCACTTTAATTAAACTTATATATGTACATATATGATGTTTCAAAGAAACTACTACATATGATTTAAGATTTGTTTGAGCAACTGATATTTCCCATGTATCTATTTAGAATAATATTACAAGTTCATGAGTATGTGGTGCTTGCAACGCTAACAATAAAACCCATTGTTTACGAAGTACTTGTTTCAGTGAATATATAGTCATAATACTTATTAAATACAATTGTATTATTCTTACGCTGTATATACGTTTTTATGCAGCGAATAGTATATGAAATCTGCCATCCATCAAAACAATCGAAGCATATTCTCTTTGCGATCTTCATTCGTCATGATATCCAGTGTATGCACAACATTATCATTTATGAGGCGCACATACAGTTACAAAAAAATAGAAGTATCTCTCTCATCAGTCAATATTTAAATTGACACAAATGTAGGTAATTGTCATGTTTGGTAATTGTCACACTACGCTTGCAATTCTATTACGCTTCGTTAACGATGGGCCTAATCGAATATAACGCAAATATTTTTAGATATTTATACAACTGTTAATTCTTTTTCGCTTTGCTTTTGAACATTTGGATTTTCAGGATTATTCCATGGCTGAATTTCAGAGCTACCAAAAACAATGAAAATTAAATTCCCTAAAACATAAATTGCAGCAGCAAGATAAAATACTACATTCCATTGGTTCACATTTTTCTGGAAAGAAATAAATTATGTATAATTATTGCTAATTATATTAAAATGTAGTTAATAATTTATGTAAAAAATACGTATAAGATAAACTTTCTTCGATTAAATTACCTCGTATACGATCATGTTACAAACTATTGGAGCGATTATTGCAGTTACAGATGCGATGCAATTTGTAATAGACATCATCGTACCAGCAAAATTTGGACTTAAATCAATATGATTAATTTGAAATCCACATAAAGATCCGGCATTTAAACCTACAGCTATCACGAGAATAGCCGTTGCTATAATGGAATCGTGCACCGACAGTGTACTAAGAAAAATTAAAGCTATCGCTGGTCCCCAATGAGCAATCGTATTGCAAACTTTTCGAATTATTCCTCTTGAGATATCCTTCTTTAAAGCGTAATCAGCTAACCAGCATATTGGAAAACTTAAGATCCACATCACTAAATAAGGGAGCGCTGATACCCAACCATTCTGAAAAATCGAGATATCTAATACAAAAAAATTGACAAGAATTTAATAACGTCGTAGATTTCGATAACACATCGGTATTTAATGAGAAATATTTATCAACATGAGTATTCTTATCTCGAAATTATCGTCTATCATACGTGTAATTTACTATTGAAAATATTATCGATCTTTATACGTGTATAATTATTATAGAAAAGAGGACATTGACAACATTTAATACAGTTTCAATTTACAACCAAAAAATAATATGCTTAAATATAATGAATTATTTCCAAAGAAAAAAATGAAGAAAGTACCGTTAATGTCAGTATTTCTGTAATTGTGTGCAGCACGTTTACGTGTATTATAACTCATAACATGGCATTTCTCTAACATGATTATAGGATTGATCGCAGCAAATCAATTGTTATTGTATAATATGATAATATTAGAGGATTGTAACGTGGATAGGCAACACAATTTTATCCTAACTCAGTTCAATAAAAAAGGTGTGCTATTACATAACATAATATTTTAATCTTGATTTTTCGCGTACAATCATAAAACTGTTTTTTTAAATTTAAAATCAATATCATCTATAATCTTTTGAGAAATTCAAATAACAATAAAACAGTTTTGAGAAAGTGTAATGTAAATTCTTAGATAAAATCCTTTAAAAATTCAGCAGATAAGTTTATTTTTTTAACACTAGAACTAAAATATAAAACCGATGACTAAAATATAAAATTTGTAGCAGACAAAATAAAGTGCAAAGAATGAGAAAAATTTATAACATAATAAAGAACACAAATTTTTATTTATATATTTTACTAAAAATCATTTAGATCATTTTTCACTAAAAATACACAGTTTCTAAAAATATATGAAAATTCTATGGAAAATTGGTCCTTTTTACCACTTTGGTAGTTCTAGTGTTAAAATATAATAGATTGTTACTTACCTCTTTCAAATTAAATTTTAAGATATCGTTCATATAAGTTGGAAGTTCCGTGATAAGAGTCCAATAGCCCCAATTTTGTCCACAATGTACTATTATAAGAGCCCACATTGGTACTGAGGTAAATATAGCTTTCCATGGTGTTTTCATCGCCTTTTGTTGAATAAATGTACAATAATCAATAATAAACATTAATAATTTATTATGTCAACGTGCATATTCGAACAAATATTTTATAAAATAATTCTGTTACAGAAATTATGTACAATTTCATTTAATAATATTATCGTTCAATTCAAATATATTGTATTTTATTTGACAAAATAAGTAAAATATAATTTGACAGAATATTGACTAATAAAACTTAAATATCGTGTTGCGATATTTAAAAGACAAATTTTTTAATCGATGTATACTTTTATGTATTTTTAAAAAAAACTTATATAAAACTTGTATGTATATACACTATTTTTATAAAAACAGTGTTTATTTTACAATGCATCATTTACGTTACTTATATTATATATTATATGTTATTACCGTGTATTAACGTTATCACAGATCTTTTTTTGATTAAAATTTTTTGCGAAAAAGTACATATCCATCCATTATATGATGGCACATAAAAATATTTAAAATGTTTAAATGCATAAAAATGTAATTTTTAAATAATTTTGCAAATGCGTATTATGTTTTTAATTAAATGAAAATTCTTTTTAATTCTAATTCAATAAATCGATCTAACAAGGATACAAAATATAATCACTTTGAAATAAAATATCTATACAATTAAATATATATAAGCGTGAACATACATATAATAAATTATATAAATACTATATTATATTAAATACGGTTAAAAATTCGATAAATAATAATTACACACAATACATTATCATTATATAAAATAAAATTTTTATGTGATTTATGCATAAATTCATGATCCATTTCTACACTAAAAATATTATTTTTATAATTCCATAAATTAAATATTTTTTTTTAATATATAAAAGTTCTTTTTAATTTTTTTCTACTATAAACAGATGAAATTAGAAATATTTCCTAAGGAACCTTTTTGGGATTCTAAAGTTCCTTTAAGAAATATATATATGTTGGATATATATATGTATATGCTAAACCAGGCTACCTGAATATCTTCTCTATTAATAATAGTACGAAAATCAGTCTTGATGTAACTTAAACTGATTGTAGAGATGAATCGGATGAAAGAACTTTTTAAAAAATATTTTTTAATGTTTCTTTCAGTGTTATTAGAATTTTTTATGTAGAAAACATATATTTTTTTCTATTCTATCACGTAGCTCATGAAAAAAATACATTCAGATATGTTTATGATATGACTCTCAAATAACCTTAGACATAAAAATTTTTAAATTAATATAGAACTTATGTTGAGCGAGATTTCAGATTAGGACAACAGAAGTAAATTTGAGAGACAACAAGAGTAAACAAACAAATTTTTGCCAGTCAGGCATACGTCAATATGAAAATGATGAAATATTTTTCACAAAAATATTATTTAAGCATTAAACCTAAGATATATGCATTATTGATCAATTGAAAATTTGCGATGTTTTAGATTGATAAGCAGAGACTATGAATGTTTGGTGCGGAATTGCAAGTAATTGGACTTCACTTTATCAACGGTATGCAAACTAGACAAAATTACACTAAATTTTTGAAAGACGAATTAGGTAGTAGAAGATGTACCCTGAGTTATCGTCTAAGATTATAGTATCAGCACGACAAGTTTCTAACACACTTTTCACGTACTGCAACACAGGTTCTCAAAAAGAAGTTCTCGAATGGTTGGATTGGACGCAACCGGTCAGTATTATGGCCGGCTCGTTCGCCCGATCTCACATCCCTAGATTTTTGCTTGTGGAACACATTAAAGGGGAAGGTTTACGAAAACAACAGAAGATATGAAAAAACGCATAAAATTAGACCTGAAGTTATTGAGAAAGCTGTACAATCTGTCATTCATCGTCTCAGGAAATTCATTACAGTACAAGAACGTCATATTGAACATTTAAATTAAATGTGTCTACGCCATCAAGATCGCTTCTGTTGTCGTTCTAATCTCGCTCAACATAAGTTTCACATTAATTTAAAAATTTTCAGGTCAGAAGTCATTTGAAAGTTATATTATAAACATATCTGAATGTACTTTATGAGCTACATGATGGAATTGAAAAAAATACACGTTTCCTACCTAAAAAAAAATGCTAATGACCTTAAAAAAACATAAAAAAATGATATTTTTTAAAAAATAGTTCTATCCGATTTGTCTCTTCAATCAGTTTAAGTTACGTCAGAAATGATTTTCGTATTATTACTAACAGAGAAGATATTCAAATGGTTTGGTGAAACACACACACACACACACACACACACACACACACACACATTCTTTAGAATCCTAAAAAGATTCCTTACATATATATATTTTTTTTATTTTGTTTGTCAAAAAACATTAATTACAAAGCTTTATTATTAAACATTTGAAGTACTAATTTTTCTAGATTGAAAATTAATTTTGTTTTGGATAAATGCTAAGATATCTTTAGATGAACAAAATTTGGATACCTTAGTCTACTGTAATTTCTACTTGCATGATAAAAAGAAAATATTTACATATAGCAAGATAAGCATTCATTAACACTAGAATTATTAAAATGGTCAAAATGACCAATTTATAATTTTTGTTAGAAATTTTATAGAATTTTATATTTTAACAGTGTATTTTTAAAGATTTAAATGATTTTTTGTAAAATATATAAATAAAAGCTTATGCACTCAATTGTATTTTACAGTTTTCCTATTTCTTTTACTTTAATGGACACTTTAATGGAAAAAAATAGAACAAAAGAATATGAAGAATATTCTTACCATTTTGTTATCTGATTTTTCTTTATCTGTAGCTTTTTCTTCTTTATCTATAATTTTTAAACTATTTTCTATATATCGCCTTTCCTTTTTTGATATCCGTGAGTGTTTAGAAGGACTGTCAGAACCAAAAATAAAAAAACCAATACTCCAAATTATCGATAACGCACCGAACACATAAAAAATATACGGCCAGCCAACATTTGCTGCTAACTCTCCAGAAATTGGAAAGCAAATCACGGTTCCAAATTGTGCACCAGCATAAGCAATTGTTCCTATAATAAATAAATGTAATATTATTATATCATATAACTATAGTTTAAATATGGAATTTTTATTATTTCAACTTTTGGGATTTTGATTAATTGCAATTAATATTAAAGTACAACTTATAAAAACTTTTTGTTAGATTACGTAGTGAAAAAATTCCGAGAGAAATTTAAAACAAAATTAAAGGAAACTAAAGCCATTTTCAATTATTTTGATTAATAGTTATTTAAACATACAATATATATTCATTAATTTCCAACGTATCGTCAATATAAAATTTGAACAATTCTTACATACAAGTAAATGCGAATCAGCTATTTTGTATGTGTAAGATCGATTAAGTTTACCTATGTCATAAATACTTTTCTATGTTAGATATGTAAATAAATTAAATAAATTAATAAATAGATATTAATTGATATAAATAATTTCACAATTAAAACTAAATTCATGTTTTGAATTCACATTTTCATAGTGTTTACTCAATGAATGGAAACATTTTGTATCTTTAACAAACATCATAATAAACTGTAGATTTAATTTGATTCTGTCAAAAATCCTTTCGATTCTGTTATCAGAATTAATTCAAATAAAAAGATTTTTTGAGTTATTTTCAATAAGTATCAGATAGATGACAGATGATATTACAATATATAATTAAGTATTATAATTTTTCAATTCTTTAAGTGAATACTCATTTGTTTATAATAATAAATATAAAGATCGTCAATAAGAATACTTGGAGATATGTATGTGTCACGATATCTGTATAGGTGCATCAAGATTTGTTATTCTATATCTTGTTGCATTGCCGTTATCCAATGTGCCATAGTAAAAAATGTCAGTAGAAAATGTAAATAATCGATTCAGTTATTCTGATAAATATTGGTAAAGTGATCCGCACTAAAGAAAGTATTTGACGGCCTATTTCTCAAATTTAGACACCTTCGCATATCTTGATTGTCATTTCTAACTTAACTGAAATGCGATAAACTAACATTGGAGAATTATGTATGGATATCAGTAAAGAAATTTAGAAACGGATCCTGCGTCGACCCCCGTTACCACTAAATACTTAAGTAAATATGTAACAGTAACAAATATAAACGCACTTTATCAGGTACATATTCAAAAATGAAATAATGAAATACAAATACTTTAGTTCTATCTTTTTTGATCTTATGTCGAATGCCTAAAACAGACCTCGAATTCAAGGATTGCTCTTGACAGAAAAGAGACATCTCTACTTGATGTCACCGACTGACAGAATCCAATGTTTATGCAGAGTTGGACAAATATTATTTGAAATATACATAGATAAAACATAACAATTTGGAACAATGTATCATTTCTATTAATTTTTATTTTAAAAGTAATATAAAAAATATACATAAATAAAATATAACAATTTGGAATAATGAATCATTTAAAATAATATAGTAAAAAGCAACTTTATGTTATGTCCGATTGAAATAAATCATTTGCAAATCATTTTTTATTTGACTAATTTAGTCATTAAAATAAATTAGTAAATATTCGCAGCACAAACTGAAGTTTATTTAGTAGAGTCAGAAATTATTTGAAAGATTATTCTATAATTATATGCAAAAATATATATAAAATACAAAATAAAAAATTATTCTATTTGATTGCCAAATAATAAAATAGTTGACTATTTTTACAATATAGTTTTTTACAATATCTCAGAAAATAATAAAGCAACTAAAATTTTCAACGTTCGGCGTCATCTTTCTTTCGCCTCTTCCTTCCCATTTCCTCAAAATGTCGTTTCACTCTGATGGCTGGGTTATACCGTGCTATATTTAAATAAGTTCGAAGAAAATGATTTGCTTGTTCAAATAAATTAATATATTTCAAAATAAGATGAAGCCAAATAAAATGTATTATTTAAATAATTAATTTTGAAATATTTTATTCAAACAATACTCAAGCATGTGTGCATTTTTGTATAAACGACGCAATTTGTTTCAATGTCTCATCGACAAGGTGCCGTACGACAAATATTGCTAGCGACCGAGATTCTCAGGAACTCAAGATACATGAAATCAATCAATATCGCGCGAGAATCATCTGAACATGTTCATTGCATTGGTTCACATGGATATTTCAAAATTATACGTCGTGACCATCATAATGTAATTATATAATCTCGATCTGATGAAAATACATATAAGTAACTTGCTGCAAAATTCATCTTAACTTTGAATTTTTGAACATCAGATTTTTTAAATGATTGCATCATATTCTATTCGTCATGAGGAACAAAAAGGAATCATGGATTGCAAATAATCTATTCTTTTGAAAAATGACTAGACTTCCAATGTTGAAATCATTTTATTTATAATACCATTTTAATAAATGAAATATATAATATTTTATTTATAATACCATTTCTAATAAATAAAATATATATATATATAAATTTTTATATATAATATAATACAAATTGTAACAGAATTTTTTCATAAGAAGAATTTGGTAATGAATCTTTATATAGTTATTTAAATATAATTATATATAATACATAATATTATATAAAATTTAATATATAGCATCAAAAAAAAAAATTAAGTAAAATGTTATCAATAAAATTATAATTATAATTACTAATATGTACAATTAATATGTACAATGTATATAATTAAATTTATCCTAGTTAAAGAAAAATTTAATAACATATCATGACAAGACAAGAAAGCTATGCAATAGCTTGAGGAAATTCGACAAGAAATAATATAAGGCAACTACGTCCAGAAGAAATTCCAGATTAAAAAGATTTTCAATGGATAGATCAACAATGTAGTAATCAAGAATTCATACGTCATCTTAATCCACATCGAGAAACAGATCGACCTTGCATTCACTGATGTAAAGAAAAGCAAGTTATCGCACTTGCTTGTACTTTTCCTTTAGTATGCTTACGCAATATGGCTCGACGAGTGAATTAATTATTCAACAGTAGCAAATAATTATCAGAAAAGGTCTGCGACCATCTAGGCTTTCTTTGATGAACGTCATAATGCATTCAAACACTGTATCTAAATAATTACGTTTATGTTTGATGAAACTATTGTCTTTAGATACTATAAACTATGATGCAAACCACGGTTTTTGGATCGTGTATTATTTACAAATGAAAACAGTTTCTCAAATAATAATATTCTGAATCTAAATCTGGGCTTACAGAAATCCAATCAATGCAATAATTGAGAGATTTAATCAAGAAAAGATAGGAATCATTTGGGATTAGATTATTGGCCTCATTTATTTTCCAAAACAAATAATAAGTGCATATCTATAGTTTCTGTAATACTACTTCTTAAGAAAAGTTATATCACAACAGAATCATCACTGCATCTATATACTTCATGTACGGTGGAACTTACCAGTTCGTGAATTTCTGAATTAAACATTAGGAATGCGCTAGATACGACGCAGACCTACTCGACACGATCTAGTTTCTAGGACTTAACATCATTGGATTTCTTATTTTGGGGATCAGTAAAAGATATTGTTTGTAGATCGAGTCGACTTTTTACATCTGTCGAAGAATTGAAATGTCGTACTGAATGTGTTTTTGATCATCTACATTAAATATTCAATATTCAATAAAAAAATTCCTCACGTACTGTTATTGTGCTTCGATGTCGTCTCTTCTACGATTCATACATTCCCGTACGTAACTGGAATAATTTTAATTATTCCATATTTAAATAATTATATAAAGATAATATTATTTTGTTTCATATGTTATTTAATTTTTTTTACTTAATTTTTTTTATGTTATAATGGTATTATAAATAAAATCATTTCAAGATTAATTGAAAGTTTAATATCATTTTCTAAGAGACTAGGTCGTTCGCAAATGAATCTGTAATTCCTTTGAGATGTAATTCCTTTCTTATAACGAATAGAATATGATGCAAACATAAAAGGACTTGAATGTGAAATTCAAGATCAAGGTCAATTTTGCAACAAGTTACTTATATGTTTCTCCACCAAATTAAGATTGTAGAACCACCATAGAATATCCTGTATTTATATGTATTTATTCAGTGAATACTATATAATGAATATTATACGTATGTCACAATACGAACATCTTCACTTCTGTATTGCACAAGAATTATGACGATATAGAAGCGCGCAAGCGCGTCTATTAGTCTATATATATATATTCAATATCTATCATACGTATCTATATCGTAAGATGCAAGATGACCTAAATGATCTTAAAATTTTAATCGAGCTTGAAATTTAAAATTGTTATACAAACAATGTGCATTTTATGGACATTCTCAAAATATATCTGTATCGTAACAACACAGAGTATCATGAACAACCGAAAGGTGATTCTGTATGTAGATATAAATAGAAAAAAATAAAATTTTTTCATTTCTTTCATTTTCGTTTTTGAAAAATCAAGTTTAAAAATTTATCAAATATATTTGTAATTTAATACTGGATAATCGACACGAGGATGTGTAAAAATAAGTAAAAAATATAGAATAAAATTTTTTTGTTTCATTTTCAAGAAAATAGACTTTTAATATGTTTTGTTAAAAATCTCCTTACGAAATGTCTTTGAAGAAAAAAATTTTAAAAGTATGCTATACTTTTCACTTATTTTTCCACATAAAATGATCTGTCAATTATTCGTTTTTATCTAGTCTAGAAATTAATTTAATTCAAGTATATTCCTGTTCATTTTTGTCCGATGATCTCGGACAAAAAATTATATTCTTTCTTTTCGATTTTTTGTTTTATTATGTAAAATCAATCAGTCGTCCATGAGTTACGAGGCAACCTATATAACGGAGGTTAGTAATTCGAATTCTGGATGTATACAGCCAATTACATTTACTGCACGTGTTAAAATAAAGGTCATGACATTCAAGGATATATTCAGTATTCAAGGATTATCCTTCACTTATTCTTTAATTCATAGTTAGTATGCGTATTATATAGTGGATTAAGAAAATAACAGATCAGAATACAATCCGTTATTATATATTATATTATCGTATATTCTTTAAACAACTTTTTGACCAAGTATTTGTCAGTCCACATTTGGATGACATTTTCTTTTTTTTTTTTTAACATTCTAGCATTACTTAGAACTAATACCGTCTTTGCTTGAGTCTATTTAATTTACTTTTTTATAATTTATATTCAATAATTAAGACATATGTTTCATGTTTCAACTATATGTAATTTATATAAATTTTTAAATACGTACATACAAGTCAAATTTTCAATGGCTCAAACAATATTACATGTCCAATTAATATTACGATTAATAATATTCATTTGTTAAAACACAATAGTTTATTAATAAAGCAGTTCTCACCAAGTCGTGATCGTTCAGACGGTGGTGCCCATTTAGAAAGAAGGGTATGTATACATGGTAAAAGGCAACTCTGACAGAGTCCCATGCCTACCCTACAAATGCAAATAGCAATATAATCCCCATAATGAGCAACAGTTGGTATCAGAATATTTAAGATTCCACAGAGTAATGCTCCAACACTGAGTAATTTCTGTGCGCTCCATACTGCAGCTATGTAACCACTTGGTATTTGCATGATCGCGTAACCCCAGAAGAAAGAAGTAATAATCATTGACTTTTCTGATTGTTTCCAATCGTAGATCTAAGTACAATAATCAAACATAAAGTAATATTTATAACTATTACTATAATAGTATAAAATAAAACTTTTTGTAGTTGTTACTACTAATTAACGTTAAAAAATTAACGCTATAATATATACATATAATTTCACATACATGATTTGCGTGTGTGTGCGCGCGCGTACGTGTAATATTATATGTGAAAAGATGCAAACTAAATATAGTTTTCTGGAAAACCAACTGAATCATGGTTTTCAATTGAAGTTCCTTAAAGTTAATTTTTCTTACTTTATATTTTGCGTCAAAGCAGTTGTAAATTAAAATTCAAAATAAAATTAGAGTTTGTATGTGCGCACACACATCTGCATTTCATTTTGTGTTGTCCTGATAATATTTACTATCTAGTTTTCTTAGATCTTTTCTATTAGCTTTTTCAATATTTTTCAATAAATCTTATTTAATGTCTATTCATTCTAGTATCGTTATTTATTGTTACGTAACAGTATCTGTGATCTATATACATATTTTATTCTTTTCTGAAATTTTATTGCTTAAACTAGCGTTTACATCCGAAATTATATATAGTACTAATTTTAATATTTTGAATTCTAAATAAAAATCCAATACGAATGTATAATCTTAAAAGATCAATATTGTATTATATTATCTTTTGTAACTTTTTTCAAGAAAATATTTTATAGTGAATCGAATGATTCATTCTGTACTATATAGTACATATGTATGTAAGTCCATCTAATACATTCACAATGTTATATAATATATCAACGAACAGAAATTCTAAGGCCATTGTAATTATCTTGATATTTCTTATATTCAAAAGTATTGTTGTAAAAGTCCATAATGTCTTTAAGTAAATTATTAAATTAATTAATTAAAATATTAATATTTTAAATATTTAAAATTAACATTTGTATATGCATTATATTATTATATATTGCATATAGAAAAAAATTTTAATCAAATTGATACTATTTACAAAACTGTTTTCGTTACTCATTTTTTCTACGTATCTTCTAACAATTTGATTATATAAAAGTCATAAAAGTTTTAACGTTATAAAAAACGTAAATAAAGATGTATAATATACACACTGTTTTGTTATTGAAAAATATAAGATTTTTAAATATCATAACTAAATACTTGGAATTAATTATCTAATTAATTAATTATTTATGTATTGCATAAATTTAAATAGAATTCAAGTATTTATTTGAGCCACATAACTTATAAAAAAATGTCTTTGAATTTTATAAACCTTTCACTCTCTATGAATCCAACATATTCGTAAAAGTAAAAATACCAATTGCTTTAAAGGAATTATTTAATATTCGATCATTTAACAACAGAATACTTTCAATCATAATTTTAAAAGTATCTATTGAAGATACTAAATTTTTGCAAATAAACATTTTTTTTTATTGTAAAATATTTTACATTAATGCTATTCACTGTTAATTACTAAAAAGAACATAGATTTATCGTTTATATTGGAAAACGAGGTAACAAATTGGATATTAATCTTGTAATTAGTTTTAACTATCTCAAATTTCTAACTTTAATGTAACTTTCTAATTTAATATAACTAAACTCTATATATGTATGTACAATTTACCTCGAATGGATGATTACTGGTCTGATTTTTCTCAGTCATTGCAACGATAGCCTCCGACATGCTCACACGAAGACAATATCCATTTACCATTCCTAAGAAGTGCAGAAGAACTTGCAGGTGTCTGATACCAAGACCATCTGCAAAAATTCAATATTGTATGTTCATCTATTCCTTTATCACTGATTTCTCGGATATAGTCCATGTAAGGAAGAATTGTTTCTCGGGCTTGGAAAGGAACATTCAGAATTGTTAATTAACTATAAATAAAAAAATTACACATATTTTATATATATATATTTTTATTTACAACAATTTTTAATGTCTCATTTGTTATTTCAGACTGAAAGTAATCAGAGTTTGATGTTTGACTTTCTAAACTAGTGAATGTTGTGATTGCAATACAAACAATCTAAAATCTATAATTTTAACAGTTTACTATAGTTATAGTTATCTATAAATTATTTTAGTATTTAAAAAATTCGAACTAAATAAACATAGAGTAAATACACATTGCAGCGTGTCATTTTTTCAGGAATATTAAATCTAATTAATTCATAAATTTTATAATGTTATTTTATCAAATGATATAATTCACTTCAATTTGAAAAACAGTTGACATTTTTTTCTATTTGACATCATAATTATTCAATATTTGAATTTGTAAGTAGTTGAATATATACATTTTAATCAAATACATATGCATCGAATATTTAAAATTTTTTGAATAAAAAAGAAAAATTTTATAAAAATCTATTTTCATAATAACAAATTAATAAGACTAAAGTTTTCGTTATATCAATTATTCTGTAAAAAATAAAATAAAACTATCGTTAAATATTAATAAGTAGCATCAATATTCCTAATCATAGAAATACTTTTATTAAAACTGACATATATTATTTTATGTGATAATTTAATGTTCAATAATATTTTGCATCATGAAAGTTTATTTAAATAATTTCCATATTGAATATTTCAGATAATTAAAAACATTTGTCATTACAACAAAGTAACAAATACTTTCAAATAAGTGATAAGTAATATTAAATTAGTAAAAGGTAATTTTGAATAAGGGTTATATCCAAAATTAAATTTTAAAAAATTTTACTCAATATATACGATATCCCACGACTTGTAAATAATCGTTGGAAAGATGATATTGCACGTAAAAATAAATCAAAGGAAACAATAAAATTTTTTTGTCTGATGCTTTATTTTTAAGAAAAAAACGATTTTAAATATTTCTTAAATATACTCATTTCTTAAGTATACTCTTATCAATTTTGAAAAAACTTGAAAAAAATGAATAATCGGGAAAAAATAAATGAAAGAAATGAATGCAAGAAAATGAAAAATGTAGAATACAATTTTTCATAAAACGTCTCATTTCCGAAAAAATTAAATTTAAAAATTTATTAAGTACGTATATTAAGCAATTTATTCAGTCTATTTTTTTGACAATATTTCAAAAAAAAAAAAAAACAATTTATTCTACATTTTTTATTTATTTTTGCACATTGCACATCATAGTGTCAGTATTTATTTATTTATGTTTCAGAATAGAATTAGCCAAATTTAAATATACTTGACAAATCCTCAAATTTGATTTTCTCGAAAACGAAGACTGTAGTAAAAAAGATTTATTCTTTCTTTTCAATTCATTTTTATAGAATCACTTTTCAATCAATTGTCCATAACTCACAGAACACCTTGTATATTGAAAAGAAAAAATAAATCTTTTTCACTATATGCAAATCTTTGCGCTATATACATATATAATTATTTATGTATACTTTTAGAAAGCTATGTTAAACTATAATATAATTATTTGTGTATACTTTTAGAAAACTGTGTAAAACTAAATACGAAAATATCAATAATTAATTTAATTACGAAAAAAATAAATGATAAAATCTTATTGTATAAATTAATTCAATCTCATTTTAAATACTAAGAACTTAGACGATCAATTGCGCAAAACAAAATCAGTAAAAAAATTGATATATTGCTCGTATGTATATAATTGCATAAAAGTTCATAGACCAGAGATAAAACCCTTATTTAACATTTTAAATATACCGATCATTTACTATATACTTAAAACTTCGTTAATGAAAATTCATGCTACATTTTTACAGTATTATACATTATATATTATACATTATATTTTTACATTATTATATATTATATTACGTAGATGTATAATATCGTAGATGTATAATTTCAATTATTTTAATTTTCTCTAACATTATTTGACGTTTCATAAATGATTCGGCAAACAAGAGAGTTAAATTTTCCTTTAGCTTTATCTACTTTAATTTAATCACTGTCTAAAAACGATAAATAAAATACAAGTAAAATATATATTCAAATATTTAAAAAAATGTTTACTGATAATGTATTATCGTGTACACATATATACAAAATATATAAAAAAAATATTTATGATGAAATTTATAGACTAACGTAGTATTACTTATTTAACACAAAAATTCATTTAATTAATAATTAATTTTAAGACGTATTTTAATTTTATTATTATCTTTTATCACTAAACATATTTATATTATTGTGAATACTATTCTACTCGGAATTACAAACTATCGATAGTAAATTACTAAATATAAAATATTAAATATCGATTATAAATCGAAAATTTTAATAATTATTTTAATTATATCCTTCAAGTAGGTGTGCTAAAGTATCATTTAAATTAGATATTTTAAAAATATAATTCCTAATTGTTGGAACATTTAAAGGTTCAATCTTAACTTAAAGATATATTATTTACCAAAAATTTTCGTTGATCCCTTTTCTTTCTGTGTAGGAAGTTCTTCGTTCTTCATAGCTGTAATTTCCAATACCATCAAACACTAACTGTTCAAATTCTAATCTCTACTTAATGATACTTATATCATATATATCTACTCCCCACCCAATGACATGCAATCTCTCTTTTTCCTTATAAATCTATCCCACTTCTTTACAATTAGTTTCGAATGTTTGAATGGCCGGTTTGAAAAAACACTAAATGCATTTCAATATTTCAAGATAAAAATAACTGTCAACTATTTTATTATACAGGTGATAACGAATATAAAATATAAAATTTGTATCCAATATTCACGAAATTTTTAAAAAAGAATGCTATTGTTTAAAATGCTAATCCATGATAGACAAGATAAATATAATAAAAATTCAAAAACATTTTTTACAGAAACAAATAAAATAAATGATAATACGAGTCGATTCATTCATTTTAGTAAACTAATAAATAGTGAACTCATGTTTTGAACTATTATATAAATTATTGAAATAATATTTATTGTATTATTATACTAAATTATACTTATATTGTATATATACTTTTATTGTATAAACCAACATTGGTATTTACGGTGCTATATGTTGGAAATATTTAAAATATTTCCATTTATTTTTTAGCTGTTCCTTTCAACACTTCAGTTTCTAATATTATACATAACTAATGTATAATACCAATGACTAATATATATAAAATAATATTTTTATAATATTTAATTGTAAATTATTTATAATGTCACATAATTATTACTTACTTAAAAAATCAAAGTTTTTTATAAAAATTTATTTTTATTTGCACATAAGATTTTATTTTAATCAGATTTGTATTTTGTTATATATAAAAATATATTTTTTACATACACTGAATATTAATAGAAATACACATTTTATATTTTACGTTTCTTTTTTAAAAGTTTATCACAAATATTGCCATCATTTGTGTTTTGAATATTAACAGAAATACACATTTTATATTTTATATTTCATATTTTACGTTTCTTTTTTAAAGGTTTATCACAAATATTGCTATCATTTGTGTTTGTATGGTTATTTTCAATAGATGCCTTTCTTGGTGTTGGACATAATTCTAATTCAGGCAATCTGTAAAAAATAAGAATGTATAATATAAAATAAAGATTATAGTACATAACTTTGTCTTAGTTTTATTTTACTATATTATATTATATTTTATTCATTTTATTAATCTGTAATAATGAATAAGAAAATGAATAAAAAATTAATTTGTTTAAAAACATAAATTTCTTAAACTTTGATTAATCTCGCATTTTGTATTAAATTTTTAATTTTTATTTATAACTCTTTTTTATTTTGTTTATAATAAATTATTGAAAATTATAATTCGACTTGTTCTATAAATATATTTCTTAATACATTTTTAAAATTTTAAATAAAATTATTAAATCTAACATAATTAAATCAACATTAAAAACGAAATATATAAACTTTAAGAAATTTATTTTACTTACTCAAATGCATTTTCATTCGATTCTTGAACTTTTTCTGTTGATTGTGCAGTATTCATATTTTGTGCTTTATAATTTTCTTTATGTTGACTTTGCATAGCAAATTTTTGTGTTTGTGTAGAATATAAGGTTTTAGAAGATATTTGTGTTGGTGGAACAATTTCATTTTTTTCATAATACTTTTTCAAATCAATTGTAACACTCTTCGTACAGTTGTATGTTTTGTATATTCCAACCAGACAATCCGCAAGTTCGAACATGTTTGATCTTAATGATATAATTATAAATTGTGCATTCTTTGTTCTTTCTTTAATATAATTTCCAACAATTGAAACATTTTTGAAATCTAAAGCAGCGTCTATCTCATCCATAAAATATAAAGGTGTTGGTTTATAATGGTGTAATGCAAATACAAGAGCCAAAGAACTTAAAGTCTTTTCACCACCACTAAGATTGCAAATATTTTTCCAAGATTTCTTAGGAGGCCTTACACTAAAAGCAATTCCTTCACTAAAGGGATCTAAAGAATCAACCAATTCTAACTCAGCATCACCTCCTAAAGTAATCATTTGATACATTTCCTTCAATTTATCAGTAATAATAGTAAAACCTGTAAGAAATTCTTGAATTCTTCGACGTCTTACTACTTCATAAACATCTCGTATTTTATTGCGCTCAATTGTTATTTTTTCCAAATCAGCAGCACGTTGTAAATACAATGCATCTTTTTCTTTGTATTCCGCAATAAGTTGCATATTTGGAATTTCTGTAGGTAACCTTTTCTTAACTTTCTGCAAATTTCCTATAAGAACTTTTTCTTCTAGTTCATTAAGTTCCTTTTCCGTTAATTCTTTTAACTCCTCTGTATTTTCACCAGGTATTATTTGAAGTTTTATGTCAGCTATTCTTTTTGTAAACTCCGGAATTTTTTGTTTTAACTCTTTAAGTGTATTTCTATGCTCCTTCAATTTCTGATCAAGATCTATTTTAACTGCTTGCATTTTGTTCTCCCTAGCTTGTAAAGCATCTAATTCTTTTTTAAAAGATGACATATTTTCATCTCTTTTTAAAAGAATTTCTGTAAGTTCATCAAGTTTCTTTACATATTCTTTTCCTTGTTCTTCTAATCCTTGTTTTTCTTTTTGAATCTCATAAATTCTTTGTTCACAAGTATGTGCATTATTTTCCAAACTCTCTATTCGTTGTTCGATTTTCTTCACATTTCTTTCAGCTGTTTTAATAGCAACTTGTAATTTACATATTTCAGCTTTAATATTATCAATTGCTTTAGATAAGTCAGCTACTTTCTTTTGTTGATTTTTCACAGAATGCCCTGACAATGCATCTATTTCTTTATTAATATCAGTCACTTGATTTTCAATAATTCTTGAATTTTCTTGCATGTTTTTCAAAGTTTTCTTAGCAGCAGTCATCACTTTCTCTAACTCTTGTACTTTTTGTGGATTCGATACTAACTCTGCAGTTCTTTTCTCTTGAACCTTAATTTGTGCTAATAATGATGGTTTTTGTTCATTTAATGTTTTTACTTCTATGAACAACTTTTCTTTAGTAACTTTCATATTCTTTAAACTTGTATTTAAAATATGAATCTGATTTTCTAAAAATTGAGATCTATCTTTAAGTTGATTGCATTCTTTACAAGTTATATCCAAATTTGACTCTAATGTTTTAATATCTGCTAAAGATAAATCATTTTTCACAACTCTTTGTCCCATTCTTCCTCTCAACGCACTTCTTCCACCTCCACTCATTGTTCCTGATAATTCAATTAACTCGCCTTTCAATGTAACTACTCTAAAACGTTTACAACCATATGCAATGCGCGTTGCTTGATCTAAATCATTTGCCACTAATGTATCTTGTAATGCATAATAAAATGCTGGTAATACTCTTTCATCTTCAACTTGTATAAGCTCAAATAGTCTTGGAACATTCTCAGGAGTTTGTATTTTTTGTTTACATTTTGATAGTAAATGCTGTTGCTTTTCTAATGGTATAAATGTTGCACGTCCAATATCGTTTTCTCGAAGAAATGTTATACAAGTTTGTGCAGTTGTTACAGTATCAACTACAATGTTATCTAAAGGACCACAGGCTGTTGAAACTGCAATGTCATATTTGCTATCTATAGCACCAAGATCCCCCTACATGTAAATAAATACATCTCAATATTTTTATTATACATATATATTACAAAATACTTTTATTAAAAAGATAATTATAATGCATATGTCTATTATAAATAACCCTTATAATAACAAATACACAGTGTTCCATTTTAATCTTCCCACGCAATTATCTCCATAACTATTCATTATTTGAAACAAACCTGTTATGTTTCAATGAAGATATCTTATGATGACCATTAGATTTGTCTAAGTATTTCTCAAAGTCAATTCTGTTTTTCTAAGTGGAATCATATATTTTTTTATAGATTAATCAATAAAACTCGATATTATCTACAAAGTATCTATCGTTTTTGTCTTTCCACATATTTCATACGATAAATTTTATAAAATTAAAATTAAAGTATCTTCTAAACTAATAATTTTTCAATAATTTTATATAGATAAAATATATAATTTTATTTTAAAACACAAAGATGATTTGAAATCTCGGAAATGTTTCCATTTAGACAAATCTAGTGGTCATCGTCAGATGTCTCAAACATTTTTTACAATAACAAATATTTTTGGAGGTATTGTGTTTAAAATTAAAATTGGACTATATATTATTATAAGATAGCAAAATCCTTCACTACTCACTAATAATAAAATAATACTAATTCTTTGAATTGCATTAAGTTTTAATTTGCATTGTAGTATACAGGGTAAGTGAAAAATCGTAATACAACCGGCCAGGGGTTAATTCTACTTAAAAAAAATAAGGACAAAATGTGGCAGACAATTTTTTCATCCGAGGCTTCGTTTTCGAGAAAATCGAATCTGAAGTTTATTACTTTACAAGTACTGTTAGAAATGTTGTCGTTGTTGCATACATAATTGTGCTCGACGAATTAAAAATAATTGAGCGGATTGTAACGTATTATCATTTTTCAGTTCTTCAAACACTTGAAGAATTTTTTGCTTTAGTTGTACAATGTTGTTAATATTTTCTTTGTACACTTCTTCTTTGGCATGTCCCAATAAGTAGAAGTTCAAAGACATGAGGTCTGGAAACATTGAAGTCCAGTGTTTGTTTCACGACCTATCCGGCACGAATACTTTTTATTTAAGAAATTTATTCATTTAAATTTATTTCCTATCATTATCAATGTTTATAAACACTAGCACGAGCAGAGACAACCGGTAATGGAATACACGATAAGGAAATCGCATTGCGTAATTAAACTTCAAATTTGATTTTCTCGAAAACAAAGCCTTGGATGAAAAAATTGTATACCACATTTTTTCCTTATTTTTTTTACATAGAACTACCCTCTGTCCAGTTGTACTACAATTTTTCACCCACTCTATATGTAATATTAAAAAATTATTATTAAAAAGTCATTAACTAATTAATAATTTGTTTTAACTTTTTTTAATGCAAACATAAAATACCAAATATGGTATTGGGATATCTTGTTCAAATTAAATATCTAAATTATTTCCACTGCTATTAAATATAAAAGAAACTAACTAAAATATATTTAAGTTCCTCCAAAATCACCTTGAAAATTATTATAAGATCATAGACATTAATGACATGTATTAATATCGATATATTAATCATAATACAATATAGTAATTGAGAGAAGAGATATGACCTTGAAATGATTTTAAACAATATAACATTAATATTTAATGATATTAAATCATTATTAATTTACATACCAATCTTCCAAAAATACCGACAATTCGACCTTCTCTCTTTTCTTTCATCAAACTATCTATAATTATATTCTTTGACTTATTTGCTTGCATAGCAAATTTTTGTTCTTCAATTGAAATTCTCATTCTTTTCAACTTTGAAGTCATTTCAATCTCCTTTGTTTTCACCTGTTTTGATTCTTGTTGTATCTTTATTAACTCTTTTTCACTATGGGGGATTTTGTTTTCTAAACTGTGTAGTTGTTCATTTCGTGCGATTAAATTATCTGTTGTTATTTTTAATGACTGTTTTAATTTTTCTAGTTTTTCTTTTTCAGTTGATTCTATGGAAATATACAGTTCCAATTCAGATTGAGCAATATTGAATGCTGCTTGTGCTTGATCAACGTCCTTTCTTAAAGATATTAGCTTTTTCTCAAGCTCGGAACGTTCATTTAATAATGGCTTAGTTTTCTTACTTAATTCAACCATTAACTTTTCTAATACTGCCTCCTCTTTTATCTTATTTTTTGAATGTTTTTCAACAAATTCCTCACATTCTTTAATATCTTTTGCATTTTTTTCTGAGACTTTATATAATTCTTCTAATTTAGATTTTTCCTACAGAAAATAATTAATCATTTATTAAAATTAACAAAAGTAATAGGTGCTAATTCTTTTTCACAGAATAATAATAATAAAATTCACAGAATAATAATAATAAAATAAATTTTACTGTTTTTAAAGATGTAATGTTAGCTTTTCGTCTTTTATTTGTTTCCACTAATTCTGCATGAAGTGATTCGTCGTGTTTTCGGATTTTATCAAATTCTGCTACAATTTCATCCTTTTTTTTCTGTAAAGTGTCTCGTGCTATATTTTCCTCTTTGATCACTTTGTTTTTTTGCTCTTTTTCATCATGAACTTCTTTCATTTTGTTTTTAAGCTCTGACAAATCTTTATCAAATTCATTTAGTTTATTCTCTTGTTGTGCAATTTCTTTAGACGTTTCATATCTAATAAAAAAATTTGTTATAAAACTTAAACACGGTACATTTTCTAAAATAGATTACCTCTGACAACAATATAGTTGATGCTGTAACTTTGCAATTGTATTTTCCAATTGCAAGTATTCAATAGCTTTTTGCATTGGTTCTTCCAGAGTTGCTTTTTCTTTCTCAACAATCTTGAGACGGTTTAACTTTTCCACTCTATGTTCTGATAAAAATTCTATTTTGTGTGATAGTTTTATTAATGGTTCTTTATAACGAACTGTTCCAATTATATCTTCCAAAAACTCGAGCATACCAGTGTCATTTTCATTTTGAGCCTTAGGCTTCATCATTGCTATTTGTTCAACTTCTCCCTATTAACATAACATAATGTAATATAATGTAAAATGATAAAAATATTGTAAAATGATAAAAATATTATGTATTATTAATAAAGTAATATTAATAAATAATAAAGTGTATACTTGTAAAATTAGAAAACGATTGTGATCCAAATCTACACCATAAGATCTCAAAAGTTTCGCAATCTCTTTGAACTGTACTTTTTTCTTGTTTAATTCATAATAAGATGAATTATCTTTAAATGCTGTCCGAGATATAAAAAATTCACTATTTGGTACAACATCATAATTTGCATCCAACTAAAATAATATTAATTTATAAAACTTAATGAAGAAAAATTTATATATAAAAATAAATTTGTTTTAGGATGTAACTTACTTTATCAATTATTTGTTGGAAATATATAGATACTGTACAGCTATTAACATTCTGATATTCATTTGAATTATGTATTAAAACTGAAATTTTTTTTGATCGAATCTTAGATGCTCTATACCCAAATACAAATAACATTGAATCTATAACATTACTTTTACCACTACCATTCGGCCCAACAATTGCTGAAAAACACTAAAAATAAACAAAGTCAACAATGCTGTAGTTTTTAATGTCTTTAGTTCTTTTAATAATTCTTGTTGAATTTTTATAACTATACTATAATATTTACCTCATGAAATGGACCAATAACTTGCATTCCTCCATAGCTTTTAAAATTTTCATTAATAATCTTAGTAATTATTAATCTAGGACCATTAACATCAATTTCGTTAATTGTTTTAAGAGGTGGTGGTATATATATATCATCATCTACCCTTATCCCACCTTCTTTGTCTTCACATAAAACATATTCTTCATTAACAGCTTCAAGAGAACCATCTCTAATTTGATTTTCTTGAGCCATTCTATTTATGACATATAATCTGCATTAAAAAGCATAAATTTATATTGTAAATTACTATTTAGAGGTTAGAAATTTATTAATATTCAAAAAATAAAAATATGTTACTAATTAATCACATATTTTCCATAAATTATTAATCTCATTCAAACAGATTAAATAACATATTATACAAAAGAGCAGAACTAAAAATAATTGATTATCTATATGTTATGTCTTTGTAACCTTTAATATTATTCTAGAAATTACAAATGCACTACTCAAATAAAATTTGAGTTTATATTAAGATACATTTCATTATGATTTTATTTCCAAATTCATTACTAATATTATTATTGTTTACTTACTACTATAATATTACTGTACATATTCCATTTAAAAGTAATGTAATCAACAACACACTGTATTGAATTCAAATTTAAATAGTAACGTACATAATACGTACAAATGTATATATATCTTATGGTGCGTTTAGATCAAGCGAACAAATACTCGTTCATAATGGCTTCAAACAAATTCGTGCTTATTTATAATACTAAACAGTGAGTCATGTAATAAACGAATAATTAAATAGAGCAACTAACATTTCTAACGCACATTATTTATACATAAACATTTTTCTTCTTTTCATTATATTCTTTTTTGCATACTACATAGGATATAATACTATCGAAATAACTAAAAATTTATATATTATTTCATTTAAAAAAATTAGGAATGACATCTCTTTCACTCCTACAAAACACTTGTGCAACTACTTATACTCTAAAATATTCTTTCTATATTATACTCTACAATATTATCCGCATTATTTAACTAACATGTTAAAATTTCAAATTGATATTTACAATGATTTTGAAACTTATAATGTCTTATGTGTGAATATTGCAAATTGTAGATTGAATATTCGCAGTTTACAATTCCTAATTTAAAAACTATATATGTACATAGTCCCGTAACACCAATCGCTAATAACCTGAGGAGTTGATAGTATATTAAACTCAAAAGAATAATTCACTTTCATATTTTTTCTGTACAAATAAATTAAAGCAACATATTAAATATATATATATCATTTTATTATAGAACATAATTTTTACAATCCCGTCTTTTGTATAATTATTTACAATTAACTATTAATTAAATATTTTTAAAAAATTATAAAAAGAAATTTTTCTAATATTTTATTTTTATTTTATGTGTGTGTTGTGTGTACATATGTATGTATATTCTTAATTCGTTATAATATACTAAGAAAATTATAATAAAAAAACCTTAACATACATCAGACTCCGTGGCGCAACGGTAGCGCGTCTGACTCCAGATCAGAAGGTTGCGTGTTCAAATCACGTCGGGGTCAAGATAAGGTTATCATTTTAAAATTTTTTTTTATAAAAAATTAATTTTCTCAAATGTACAAAAAATCGTATATGTTTTTTATATTAAAAATGTTATAAAATAATCAACTGATTACATTTGCAAACCTACAAATAATTATAACTTTTTTCTGTTTATTTACGTTCAATGTTGTAAATGCACATAGCTATTAATATATCTAGAATATGTATTAATATGTATTAATATCGTTTTTTTTTATATTTCCAAACATATGTTTATAGATTTGTATATATAATATAATAATTTTAATTATTTCAATTATAATTAGAATGTGAGTAAAATTAAGTAAATATTAAATATTTAACGCATGATAAGTTTTGTCGAAATCAAAAGAAATGGGCAAAGAAAACGATTCTGACAATACAAAAAAAAGAAGAAAATCAGTTAGTGGGAATTCTGGAATGTCTTTGAAGGATGGAGATACATACAAGGTAAGAATATTTTCAATTTCAAGAATATAAACAATGTCTCTAAATTTTCAAGTATTTATATATGAATTTTAAAGTACCTATCCTGTACATTTAGGTTATAATTAGCTATGAAGAAAAGGAAGCTATGGAACGTTTATCAGAAAATGATTCTGAAAGTTTCCTATCTACTTGTGATAATATACGTAAAGCTATGAATAAAATTGCTAAATTAAAATCCAATGGAGATGCAAATGTTTGTATATCAATTAAGCATAAATTAAATCTATTTATATAAATAATAAATATATCACTTGATAAACTTAAATTGTATATTTTTAGGCTAAAGACGAAATACATGAACTTCAAATTCAAACATCATTAGCTTTTATCGAACTCAAAAAATTAAATAGAATGGAAAAATTTCGCACAAAATTTGCGAGAGATTCTCTTATATCTTCAAAAAGTAGTGTTGACAGTAAACATTTACATTTACAAAATCTGTTGTATGAAGTCATGCATTTAAAAAAAGAAGTTGTTAAATGTCTTCAGTTTAAGTAATTTAAAATTCTTAGTATATCTATTCAGTTAACAGTATTTAATTTATTTGACATATATGTATTAATGTACAGGTCTAAAGATGAATTGATACAACTTGTATCAGAAGAAGAGTTTTACAAAGAAGCACCTGAAAATATTTCTAGACCGGTATGAAATAAAAAATAAAAATTATTTATAATATTATATAAGTTAATGTTTCTAGGAAATAACAAAGCATAATCCTCATCAATTAAGACTGGCACGTCTAGAATGGGAATTAACACAAAGAAAACAATTAGCTGCTTTGTGTGATGAATTGACAGAAAACAAAAAGGCAGTAGCATTAAGTATTGAATCAAAACAAACTAGACTTGATAATCTTGCACCACAACTTTACTCAATATTAGAAGTATTATTGACATATTTGTAAAGTATTGTTTATTATTTATAATTGATGTTAAAATTATTAATCTTTTTAGGCAAGCAAGCCATTACAAGAGAGTCTTGGTTTATTGTTGGATAAAGTTAGACAAGAACATCATAAAGCAGCATTACTTGCATCACCTCTGTATGTTCTTTATGCAAAGGCATCTGCATACAGAGATGCATATGGTACTGTCTTTTTATTATCCAAGATGTTTTGTATTTTATTGATTTATTTTTATGTTGATTTTCTTTCAGATAATTCTATAATAGTAAAAGTGGAAGGTGATGAAGAAGAAGCAAAACGTGCAAATAATCAAGATGCATTGCAAGAATCTGATTCAGATGCTGAAACTGTTTCTGAAAATGTCATAGAAGAAACTCCTGTACATAAAAAAAGACATCATAGGTTATCTAGAGAAGCTAGGCAAGAAGAGAAAAAAACAAAATTGTTACAAAGGCATCCTTTAAACGTGAAAATAATTATTAAATTGAAAAGTTAGTAGTAAAAGATTTGTACATATAATTTGAAATTGAATATTTTAAAACATTAATCTTTTCCAGATGAAACAAAACTGACATTACAATTTTATTATATGATGTCTTTGAAAATTGTAACTGTGGAATCAAAATTAAAAACTGATGGTATTATGGATATTAGTACAGGGTACATTACATTTTATATATTGCTATTATGTATAATTATTGCTGTTTTTCTATTATAATTAATTCCAAATCTTTTTTTTTAATAGAGATATGCTTATATCAGAATCTATTTTACGCGAGTTATATCCACGAGATTTAGGATTAGAGAGTCCAAATCCTGCTAACTATTATCAATTAAATCGGTATAATTTGGGCCAATTTTCATCGCTTGGATTAGGAATCCCATATAAATGGGTACAAAGAATGGCTGGATTACATTTCATTTCTCCGGATGCTAGAGAACAAAGAGTAAAATTTTAATATAATCATATTGTTATAATAATACATCATTTAGTAAAAATTATTTTCAAGTAATCTGTATATTCCTATTTTTCAGTTTACGAATGGTGAAATAACCCAAGATAGCGTTGAATGTGTATTAAGAGAAATCAAAAGACGCGTAATAGCAAGATTAGAATTATGTACAGAGATTAGACAATTAGAGTACGGAAATTTGCCAATTTTTACCGCTAATAATGATCTTTTACCACAAAAACTTAGTACGATTTTACAGAAATTCTCAACAATTTCATGGAATAATTATTGTAATAATGTAAATCCCATTTTTCATGAACAAGGACTGGTATCTTCATTGGATATCTTTTATGAGGCTATACTTCGTCGAGGCAATTGTAAGATATTGTAGAACTATTCAATATATAAATCTTTATTTTATTAGTTAACTTACGATATTTGTTTTAGATGAATTAATTGCTAGAATAGCTATAAAACCAGATTATCCAAAAATAGCACCATTATTTAGTATAAGTATGAGTCCTACAATACATGCATCTGCAGATATTTTAAGAGATATTGAAAGAGAAGTAAATGTCATGTGGATAAAACAGCCAACATTGTCTGCACAACTTCAACGATTACGAGCATGTTTTGATATTTATTTGGAATCAGAGGGTCTTGTACCGAAAGAAAAAATTTTCTTTCACTCTGTCAAAGGTCGTACTCGTGCTAGACCATATAAATATTTAGAATTAGGAGGTGGAATTTTTATTCATCGTTAATTTAATATAATACAAAATGATATATGTAAATATATTTTTCCAAAACATGTTATGCTTTAGTGTTAATATAATAATGCATGTTTAAATTACAATAGAATCATATCAACTAAATTGTAAGAATCTCCTCAGTGCTTTATAGCATAATCTACATTTATTGATAAAGATCAGATAGTTTTTCCCACTTATATTCGTTAGGTGTATTTTTTTTGTTGTTGAAGGACTCAAAATTGATATTCGTAACTATTCCTGAAATAAAATTGGTATATGTTAAATAAAAATTATAATACACATTCTTAATTCTACTATATTTTTTTATTTATAATAATAAAAAATAATAAAACAATAAAGTAATTAAATATATTAACATACCGGAATCTACTGAGAAATATATTTGCAGTTTACATTTTAATTTTTTATTTTCTCTACAAAGTTCGTTAGTTTGTTTTTTTAATAAAATATTATTTCCTTTTATATAATTAAAATATTCCCAAAAATTGTTGACTTTAGCACATGATTCAGGGATCTGAAATAATTTATTTGGAATCATTGCAATGTCATTCTAATAACATATATTTATTTCATTCTATTTCTTACATTAGCATCGACGTATTCAGTATAAAGTGTATTTTGCATAAAATATTTCTTCAAATTAAAAAATAAAGGTTCCAAAGTGGTGCATATTTTAATTATTTCAAGAATTATGGAACTTTTTTTCAAAATTTTTTGTAAGTGCTATAGGAGAAAAAAACATTATTATTATATCCTAAAAATTAAGGAAGGAATTATAGTAAAAAAAAAAGTTCTTACTTTTAAAACTTCATTGCTTCTAACAATCAATTTTTTCAACTGTACAGAACTTATCATTTGAGTTACAGTAAATTTATATTTAATGTTTTTGTATCTTTCCTGTATGTTTATATCTTTTCTTTTAAGTTTTGCAATTTGTACTTTTCTTTTTTCTGATAGTATTCGTACATTGACTTTTAAAGTTTCAATTATATTTTGCAATTGTAAATATATTTTTGGATATTGTAATAAACACATTTGATGAACATCATCTTGTTCTTTTAAATATTCATACTGCTTTTTTTTGTTTTCAATTATTCTTTGATATTCATTTATTATTCTACATAACTGTTCCCAAAACTTTTCTATTTTTAAAAAAGCTTGATGTATAAAATGTGATGCTCTGTCCTTCTCCTAGTATATTTTATAAAAATTAATTGTTAATTTTCATTAATTTTTTACGCGGTAAGTAAATATTACCAAATAAATTATTACCAAATATAAAATATTAAAAATATTAGTAGCGTTGTATGTTTTCCTTATAGTTTGTGTTTGGTCAAAGATTATGCATTTTCTGGTTATGTTGTTAGCAATTTCTTTATATTGTCCTATGTAATTTCTCAATTCAATTAACTCTATCATACTATTCATTTTAATATTATTTAATTTATACATATCATGTAATTCTACTAATTTTTGTTTATATATTGCTGTATAATATAAAAAGAAAAATCATAAATTCGTATAAATTTAAAAATAATATAATATTCTAGATACATTATTTTATATAAATAATTTAAAAAATACCAATTATATTATTGATTAGTAAAATATAAGTTTCTTGAAGTTTTCTATGATCTGTATCTACTATTTTTAATTCATTATATAAATAAGAAATTGTCGCATCTTTAATTTTTACTACTCTGTCAAAAGTTGTATTGAGATATTTTACGTTTTTATGAAATTCCTTGCATTTTATTTGTCGCAAAACATATCTCCATTTTTCATTAATTTTTGCAATATTTAATTTTGAAAATACTTCTTCGTGTTTTAATTTGTTCTGTAATAATTTTTGTAAGTTTATTTTAAATATTATAGTAAGAAAATTTAATAAATAATATACCTTAGTAAAGATAGCAATTAATTGTTGTTTACGTCTTTTAGTTTCTAATTCAAATTCAAGACGATGTTGCATATATCGCATACGTTCCTCTTCGTTCATTCGAACAAGTTTGCTACTTTTTTTTCTTTTTCTGAACATTTTTAAATATTTTGTATTACTTACCCAAAGAAATATCTTACTATGTATATGTAACAAATATTTTTTCAAACATATTCAGTTATATATAATATAGTATTTACTATATTAAAATATTAAAAAACTAATACTATGTAAGTCAATGTATCATATTTTATACTCTAATAATAAAATAGTAGAAAACAGTCCTCCGTATAAAGAATATATTAATATGTTTGATCAATAAGAGTATTAAGGGACACCACAGATAACTACATATGTAAGTATTAAAATACCTACATTGTATTACAATATTGCTGCGGTCAATACAAATTTTTATATTTTTTCTAATAAGAAATATTAATTATTTCTTTTTAAATAATTTAATTCTGTCTCTTTTACAAAATAATTACGTGGTCTAAATTTTGAAAAGAATTATTTTTTTCACAGGATGACAAAAACTGTGAAATGTATGTGTATTTTATACTTTTAGTTAAGTTAAACTGTTAAATATGTGTATTCCATACTTTTAGTTAATGGTAAAACAAACCTTGAATGCATAGTCTTTTATTTTTAAGAAATTAATTAAATTATGTCGAGCATACGAAGATACGAACGTCATTTATACTTAATTATATACATAAACATACACAACATACAAGTAGTAATCTATACTCGACAGAATAAACGTTCCGACTCTTATTTCGTATTAAATTTTTACAGTCTATGTTGATAAATTTTTGATTATTTTTATTTACTATAATACTCCTGCGTCTTTTTACAATTTTACTTGTGGAAATCGTAATAAAAACATTTATAAAACACAAATTGTTCATAAAAGAAATTACATTATCAAAAATGCAATGTTGATTGTGAATATCACTCAGAAAACATAATTTTATAACATTTCTAAATATAATTTTATTGCACGCTAAACATCATACATTCGTATCTCTCTACGCTTGATATTTTTTTATTAGTTTCTCAAAAACAGAAGGCCATGCACTCAAATCCTTTTGCAATTTACAATGTATTCCCATTAGCTTAAAACATCCAGTGCAAGAGCCAACTTATTCGAGGTTTCGCACTTTTTATTAGAGTATCTTTCATTTTAAAGACCTTAAAATATTTTGTTAAAATCATCATTCTAACAACTTTTCCCAATATAGCGTACTCATTTCGATATCTTTGATGTTTTCAATAATACAAAATAACCTATCAGAATAAAGTTTTTTTGTTTCGAAACATAAATATTGTGGTGTATAATAATTCTCAACAAAATGATCTGTTTTCGAGTATTGAAGATCATTGCAGTATTTTTAATTGTGATGACATATTCTTTTTCCATATTATTATAGTCGAAAAAAGATGCACTTCAAGTATGATGTCCAGTTTTAGGTAATCTGAGACCCTTAGATATGAAAAAATCATGGTAATTTGAAGGAAAGTGATCAATAAAAGATTGTTCTTTTTCTATTCTAAATGTTTTTACAAGAAATATCAAAATGATGAATATTCTGCACATTATGGGATGAAACTTTTCCCAACCGTTGTTGGATAAATGGTCATGTAAAAAATCGTCTACTAACCAGCCAGATTTTATTCTTTTCTTTTTTCTTTTTATAAAAAATGAAATATAAATGCTATTATGTCGTGGCCTTCAATAGAGTTGATAATCGGAAGTTTATAAGACACTAAAAGATCAATAACGGTTCCAGTGTAATGTAATTCAAGGATCGAATATATTATTATGATTCAGAAGTTGTCAGTCATAGATAAAAGTCGAAAACTGATGTTTTTAATAATATAGTCTTGACAAAAATTACAGAAATTGATCACAACAAAAATTTAAGACCAAAAATTACAACAAAAGATCAAAATCAAGCAAACTCAATAATCAAGATGTTATAAATTAATAATTAAATGCCTCGTTGCAATTCCGCGGTAGTTTTTATATTCGTATTTCCAATTGTTATTGGGAGCGGGGTGGAAGTGACATGCTAGTGACACGCTCCGCGGAATATTATTATTTTTATCCAATTTCAGGAAATCTTGTTCTGGAATACGGCTAAGCCTATGAGCACACCGATTCACGATTGCTTCCGGATAGCGATTGATATTGGTGCAATTGTTGCGCAAGAACGATTGCAAGTAGTCTTACAATTAATTTAGGGTCTTACATATTACTACAATCAGAATCCTATTATACCAAAGAACATATAAAAAAAAATCCCATATACACTCGCCGCGGAAAGTATGTTGACAAGCACCAACAATGTTGTTTTTGGCAACTAAGTCAAAAGTTTTAAGATGAATGGAGTAAATAATTGATACATATTAATTGATACTATCTAATAAAATATATATTTAACGATAAACTGTATGAGATGTTTAACAACTACAAAACAATCAGTCATTTATAAGAATCGTGTGCGGAAGGTAAGTTGACAAGAATTGGTTATGTAAAAAAACAAAGTTTGCAGTAAAAAAAGCACACATTTAATATGAAGTTTGGTAATCTCGATTATTTATTGTCTCTTGAAGCCTTTTTGATGTATTTTCTATTAATTTATTAATTATATTTTGGTTTATTTTAGACCATGCTTTTAATAATGCTCTTTGAAATAATTGTTTATTAGTTTTACAATGCTCAGGCACATTTCTGTCCAAATGGTCCCAGAAATGCTCGATGGAATTCAGATCAAGTCTCTGAGCTGGCCATGGCAGTAAATGAATATTGTTTTCATTATAATACTTTTTTGCCACTTTACAAACGTGTTTTGGATCATTGTCCATTTGTAAAATAAAAGAATCTCGGGTGTTCATTTTTTCTGCTAAATTTGTCAAATTTTATTACAAAATATACACGTATTTTTCTCCTGTTAATATTCCTTCTATAAATTGTAAATTACCTACACCAGCCGCTGAAAAGCAATCCCATACTAGAACCTCCATGCTAGCAATCCCATGCTCTACCTCCGTGTTTTATGATAGAAGTGATAAAGAAGGTTTAAAACTTTCTCCCACATTTCTCCATACTGTCTTCTTTTGTTCGAAAGTCTTCTTTTACGAAATTCAAAGTTTGACTTGTCCGTGAATATAACATTTTTCCAAAAGTCAATTGGTTTATTCACAAATTGCTTACAAGGAAAAGTCACAGCAGTTGGGTCGTCGATTTTAATGAAATTTGGTCTGTCGATTCTAAAGCAAATATAATTTAACTATGTCCAAGCATTTGCGTCAATACTCATTATTTACAAAGATATTTAATGTTTTATTCTTCTACCCTTTCTATCCATCTATATACTATTCCTGTGAAAGTTGCAAGTTGTAGCGCAGTAGCGAGGCTGGTGGTGTAGTGGATTCATACCCAGATGTTTGAGGGTTTCAGGATGCGAATCCCTCGCAGAAAAGGAATATTTTTGTATTATCTCCACTTTTGTTTTCTTTTTGGTTTTCTTGTTTTTTTATATAGAATACTGTGTTTTACATTTTTATAGTATCCCTAATTATTAATTTATTTAAAATATAAGAAAATTTCGATATAAAATATAATATCACAGAAAATTTCGATATAAAATACAACGTTGAACGTAACAATTTTTATTAGCTAATATTTTGCAAAAGAACATTACATTGTCTAGGATGATAAGCGTCATAAAAGTATGAAAAGCATAAATATACCTCGCAGTATGAACATAATAATTTATAAATGCCATATTTTTACAGGGACACTGCGTTTCTTACATCGTCTGGAAAGTAAACTTGGTTTACGTTGAAAAATATGGATCTATGAGATATTAATTTTGTTGCATACCAGGAATATTTAATCATTGCATTGAAAACTGGTGCAGATAACTGATTATGAATCAAGGAATGAATTTTGATAGCGTTTTCCCTACGTGAAAGTTCACGGTTGTTTTGTAAAATTTCTATGGCTTTTTGTATTTTTTTAATAAAATTTTTAATTTGTCGGAAAAAATATGCATCGCACGGCTGATAAAATGGAGTGCAATGTGGAGGTATAATTTCCAATGTTGATGTATAATTCCCTTCATCTGTGAAAATACTAAAATATTAAAATAGCCAACATCGGTTTGTCCTCCCCAGGACAGAAAATGCAGAATTGCCAGAAATTCGGGACATATAAAGTTATAAACTAACGATTTGCTTTTGTTTTTATGACGCTTATTCTAGACATTGTAATGTTCTTTTGCAAAAATTGTAATGTTCGACATTGTGTTTTGCACTGAATTGTCAATGATACTTAATAAATTAATAATTAGGGACATTATAAAAATGTAGAACATAATATTCTACATAAAAAAAAAAAAAAAAAAAAAAAAAAAAAAAAAACATAAAAAAAAAAAAAAAAACAGAAAAATAAAAGAAAACATAGAAATAATACAAAAATATTCCTCTCTCCGAGGATTTGAGAAACCCTGAAACATCCGGGGTATGAACCCGCTACACCACTAGTTTTTTTTCGCTACTGCGTTGCTTACTATAGCTTTAAGAAAAGAAGTATATGTTGCTGTGATAAAGGATTAAAACATTAAATATCTCTGTAAATAATGAGTATTGACGCAAATGTTTAGACATAGTTAAATTACATTTGCTTTAGAATCGATAGACCAAATTTCATTAAAATCGACGACTCAACTGCTGTGACCTCTCGTTGTTAGCAAACGCTAATTGTCTTTGAACGTTACGTTTGCTGATAAGTGGATACTTGCTTTCTCGATACTCTGCCATGATATCCTGCTTCTTTTATTCTCATACAGATTTGTGTTTCTTTGATAGGAAGATTCAATTCAAATTTCAATTGTTTCGGAGAAATGTTGCGGTTTTTGTGCACCTCTCTTAATGTCATGCGATTCTGTCCCACTGTTATTTTCCTTAGCCGTCTTGATCTCGGAGGATTTTCGGCAGTACCGTTAGTTTTTAAAAGATTTACCACCTTCCTAACACATTCTGCCGATATATTAAAGTCAGACGCGATTTGTCTGAGTATCTCTCCTTTTAAACGTTTATTAAATATTTGAGACTTACTATAGTTTCTACATGTAAAAATGGTAAACAAAACGTATAATTTAAAAATTAATTATTCTTAATTAATCTTTAAGGAATTATAAAAAAATGCAGCTAAAAATATATATCAACTTACTTTCCGCCTGATGCTAAATCACACTTCAACAATATACACCTCTTTCACACAAAGGACGAACCTCAACTGTCCGTACAATGTCAACAAACGCTGATACAACATTTTGAGAAACAAAAAGTTTACATATTATACTTACAACTAAGAAAAGCTCAAAATGGAGAATTGCCGTGTCAACATACTTTCCGCGGCGAATGTACATGCACTGCTATTGTTACAGTTATAATCCAACGTACAATCTTATTTTTTATATATTTTTGTGTATTATATCCGAAAATAGCTTGAAGCCATCAAAAATCACATTGAACATTTCTTGTAAAATAAACATTCAAGAAAGAAATAAAAATATCTTCAATTGATTATTTTCCACAAATTATTATAATTTTTTTATATCAGATTATTTGGATGTTAATATATGATATGTGTATATATGTAAAATTTATTTTTCTCCGGTTACAATAATACGGAAAGAGATCATTATTTAAAAAAACAATAACCTTGAAAACTCAAAAGAAATAATTTTATTGAAAGAAATGATAATATTTGTCATTTAATACTACATAACTTTGTTCTAACATTCTTTCATGTAGGGGACACTACCCAGACAATGTTATAATGTCAGACACATTCCCGAGACGCAGTATCGTTATGCCCATAAAGTGATTGCAAGAATTACTTTATGGAACTGACCTTATCAATAGCACATCTTAGCCATAAACTAACTTACCTTCTCGATCACATGATCAGTAAAGACACAAAGAAAGTCGACCTATAAAAGGGCGGCTGCATTAGTAAGAGTAAGAGTAAGAGTAACATAAAAATGCATTCAGAGTACGTAGTAATACGCGTTAGTTCAACCGCCTCGCGCAACGTCCAAGCCTGGGAACGTCCACTACATCAGCTCTCGCTGTTCTAGCAACTATCATACACACAAGGAGTATAGGCACAATATAGCAACCAGCATCTCGCAATTCTTTTCCTCAACTTAACATTTCCTTAACTTTCAAGTCATCAAAGGTTTTTTTTATAAATATTATTTTTATGTAAATATCTTCAAAATTTCAATCAAATCGTGCAATTACGCATGTTTAGAAATTTCATTGAAATTTTTTGAGTATATGTCATGTCCCGGCTGCGGGGAAACTGTGTGCTAGCTATCACGGAGCCGGGTTGAGTGACAAAGTGCAACCTTTTGGCTCAACCGGCACGTACATCCGGTTCTAGCTAGGATCCGCGGCGTTCACTAGTTTGTGCGTTAGAAGTCAGAGATGATGTTCGAATGGGATAGCAAAGATCACCAAAAGTTTAGCTGATGATTAATAATGAAGTGACACTGTATAAGATATATGTACACACACGCGTGCGCGCGCGCGCGCGCAGGTGTCCATATATGTATATATGTATATGTATGCACACATATGTATATACAGCTTTCGGCATTTTCTTCGTCTGTATAGTGGGATGTGTGGGATGTAGTTCTTTGAAATATAGGTATCCGGTTTTTTAGGAGACTGATAATCTTGAAGGTCTGTCAAAGTGTGTGGTCCGTCTTCTTGATGTTTGCAAACTTGTCCTACCATATTTGGTTTCGTGGTTCTGCGATGTGTTTGCGGAGATTTGAGAGGAGATTTCTGCGTAGCTTGTGGAAGGAGTTACCAGTTTTTTTAAACTTCCGCCTGTATTTATTTTTCTCCGTGATGAGGTTTTAGAGAACGGTTTGCGTTTAGAGAGGGTTTGCGGAGGAGGATTGCGTTTCGAAAAGATTTTTGGATTTTAGTCGGATGAGTGCTTCGATTTTGTTGTTTATGTCGGCTGTGGTTTTTAGTTTCTGGTTTATTTTGAATTTGTTGCAGTTTTTGACGAATGTGTTCCAATTGGTTTGTGCGGTTTGGTGTGGTCGTCTTGCGTTGTTTTGAGTTGTGAGTGAGAGGTCCACCGGCAGGTGATTTGATGATAAATCATGATGTGGCAATTTTGTGGAAAGGGGGCATTTAACAGGAAAATGTCAATGTTGAAGGGGGTGCAGTTTGATTTCCTATGAGCGTAAGTGGAGCTGTGAATGATTTGATAATTGTGTAACTCGAAATGATTTTTGAGGATGGAACCATTTTTATTTCTTTTGGTATTGTTCCATAGGGTGTGCTTAAAGTTGAAGTCACCGCCGATGATGTAGAATCTTGGTTCTTGTGGTAGTATGATGACGTCCAGATCGTAAGGGTTTATTTTATTTTGACTTAGAGGAAGGGGGAAGTATATACTGCTCCGACTGTTAGTTTGGGAGTGGTTTTGATCTTGATGGTAAGTACATGTTTGAGGTGGCTGGTTGTGGTGTATCTTCCGTAGGAATGTCTTTCTGAACAGCTATTAATACTCTTCTTCTTGGTTTATTGTTGATGGATGGATCGATTCGTCTTGTCTGTGTATTTTGTAGTTACCCAACTACAATTTGAGAGTGTTTTGGGGTGAGCCAGGTTTCGGTGATGATTGCGATATCTGCATTATGATCTATTAAAAATTTGTGAAGTTCAGATATCTTGTTTTTAACGCTAGTGGCATTCCATAAGAAGATGTTGATGGGGTTTTTATGGCTACTCATTATCTAGTTCTTTCTTTATGAGTATTGTTGCTCGGACTCTTTCTTGTTTGTGCATTTTGTGTAATATTTCTGGATGAGCAATATCATTTTTAAGAACTGGTCTAGGTCTGTTGCTTTGATATTATCTATTTAATCTATTAGTTTCGGATTGAGATTTTCGGTTTGCTGAGGCTATAGGAGTCGTTGAGGTGATACGGCCTTGAGTGAGGTTTGCCTCCTCCTGAAAAGGGAGGAGGTGGTGGGGATTTTGTTTGGGATAAGGTGGGGGAAGCTCTGTGCTAGGAGGTGCATGTTTGGGAAAGAGTTTTGCACATGTTGGATTTTTTCTTTACTAATCTTTTTTAGCCAGTAATGCAGGGCATTGAGAATGATTGGCCGGGTGAGCGTCTTTGCAACTGGCGCATGTTGGGGGAATTTCTAGGGTTTTGCTGCAGGATCTGGTGTAATGTTGTTCGGCGCATTTGACACACATTGGTTTCTTGTTGCAGTTTGACGATGTTTGACGAAGTGTGCATGGTAGAAATACAGAAATACTGAATCGTTTGTTCATAAGACTCATATTTTTCCTAGTATTTTATATTTTGATATTCTCGATGAATCTAATATGATTTATTTGTGCCAGTGTGGTTTCGGGCACGAACGTGACTCTATACATGGAGTATTTGGTGTAGGTTGGTATTTCAATACCAAGTGTGTAGGATTTAGGCCGTGGCATCTAATGTTTTCACTTATTTTGGTTGGAGTCGGGAGTCGGATCATGCTTTTGATCACTACGGTTAATGTTTTCTCGGACCGTACAGATGTGAAATTCAATGTTTTCTTTGACGTCGGCTTTAAATTCCGTAAAATCTTTTATGTTTGTAAACATTATTTTAAGTTTGTCTGATGTAAATTTGGCTTGGGAAGCATTCTGGTATTTTGATTTAAGTGCGTCAAGAAATTTTAGATGGTCAATTTTACATTTTGGATTTTTTTAGCAGGAGAGTTTAGATTTGTTGCGGTGTGATTTGCGTTTGGGATGCCAATGAGACAATCAGCGAAGACGCTGCACCTGTTTTTGGTAGGGATGTCTGGGTTGATGTGCTCCATACCTTTCTGCATATTTGCGACAGGAGGTGAATCTAATAGAGATATGGTCCTTTTTCTCGATATGGTAACCTTGAGTGATTTTTTGGTTTTTCAATGGCTTTTTTCTTAGCCACCGTCCATGTGGATGCTTTGCCTTCAAGTACGCAGTCTAAGTTTGCTGTTGCGGCTTTATTGCTAGCGATGTCTGATGATATCTTTTCTTCTTTGGCCGTGGAGGTTTTGATTCTCACTTAGAGTCTTTGTTTGATTTTTTATTTTGCACACACTTGTTCACTCACTGCGATTGTGAATAAGAAGACTTGCTCAACTTTCTTGCTCGGAGATTGATCAGAAACTTCCATTCATCTGATGAACTGCGACATATCTTTGCAAGGCAAAGCTTTGTAGCGAAGGAAAGGCTCGAGTCAGAAAATTAAATGATTTTTGGAACCAATCGTTGAGCTATTCCTAGCGGCACTGCAATACCGGACCAATCCCTGACGGGGGAGGAGCGAGCTAATGGCAACTCTATCAAGTTCCAAAAATCAGATTAACATTCTGACTCTGGGAAGTGTATCAGACATTAAGCTAATAAGAATAGATAAGCATCTTTATTTCTGACAAGCAATGATTCTTCCAAGGACAATACGTCTGAGGGACGATACATTGTGGGCGTCCGGGTCCTTCTTAATTTTTTAGTACAATGTACAGAGTGGAAAGAAAAGTTTTTCCGTGGATACTATAGATGAATTCTACACTTTCGATTTATTTATTATCTATTTATTAGAACTTACCGTAAAATTGACCTTGACCTTAAATTTCAAGGTCAAATTTTTTTTGTATTCTATTCTATTCTATTCTATTCACTACAAAGGTAAAACTTTTCCAAAGAACCGTGGACCGTATAATAATAGGAACCTAATAATTCTCTTTAAAAATGTTTTTTTTATCAAAAAAGTTTTTTTATCATTTAACACTGCGGACACGTGCCTGCTATCAGACAATCATTTAAACTTAAATTTTATCGTTATCGTTATCGGATGCGTGGATGGTTTAAATTTCATTCAACAAATGTTCAACAAATGGTTGCTCACGGCAAATGCGAAATTATAATCAAACATTCCCGTCCGTTCCAGTCTATCGGAATGGTATAGATCTTAGAATGTTAAATTTTTTCACACTCTACAAGGATATCCAAAAATAAATATAAGTTAATTACAAAAAATAATGATAACCTCTTGTAAATAAATGATAAAAAAAATATTTCTGGCAATATATTTGTCTCTTAAAATAGTGCAATTTTATCCTCAAAAAATTTTTTGTAAAAATAACAGAGATCTTTAGCTAACCCTAATTTTGTCTTGTGTATTGCATTATATTATGTAATGGCCAAATTGTAAGAGGTTAATCTACATATAAAAAAAAAAGAACAAATTATTAAGGCCAACAGTACTTATGACATGAATGTACTCCAAACCGAGTATGTCAAATTAGAAATTTCCAAACATTTATGTTTAAAACTCACAGGTATAGGCCACTTATTGTTAGAGAATTCTAATTAGACGCTTTATAAATTTCAGTTAGTCTCAAATGAGACGAGTTTTTCCATAGGGATTGTCATGTCATAAACACGTGCGTATGTCACGGTGGGAGTCTGATCGAGTTCCAAAAATAAATGCGCGACAATTCGACAAACCGTAGAAATTATTAACGTGTTACAACTGAAAGAGTAGTTCCTGAATGTAGCAACGTATCGTCTAACTGGGCTTAACTCTAGGTTGAACAGAATGAAGACAGATTTGAAAAACTGACTGCATTTTTATTTCTTTGATTACATTTATATAAGTTACTATCATAGTTTTCGAGAAATTTTGGGAAGTAGTGGGACTTTATTATTTGCTCTTGATCATAGAGCGTATGACACGTACTCGAAGTATTGTGCAGGCAACGGGATAATTTCCAGATGGCCATTTTCTAAAAATGACAACCTACCCGAGTCATTCTTATAAGCGGCAATGAGAAATTTTGGAAACCTCTTCCCATATTTCCTGATTGGTCTTAATACAACCTCTGCTCTACAGAATCAACTTCTCAGAGTCCTTTGGAAAGAGTAACTCAAAGCTTATTATAAAAGAGGACTCTGAAGAAATCAAAGGCAATAACTTCAATATTTTACAATCAAATCAGGGAACTAATCCTCAGACATTAGTCACTGATTCAAGTTCAATTTAGTAGTTACTCATTCAATATTCGATTCCTTCGAATTTAGTCGTCGGTACCTTAGTCATTTAAACAAATCAAGCTTTTTGAATCGAGTAGAAACCACCGGGTTTATTGCATAATAAAGACAGTGCAAATCAAATCAGAGTTATTCATTTCTAACAAATACCTTCCTTCGATTTCAAGTCGAAGGTATAGGATCGACACACAAATATCATATAAAGTTTGTCAGAAAACGCTTTTTTCTACATATAATATAAGAATTGTAAATGAATATTTATATGTATAAAATAAGTAGCTACAGATTTTTCGTAGAATACGTAGTAAGTCAATTATATTTATCTGGTCTGCATAGATACAGAATTTTGTGTCTTTAATAACTTGAAGATGATTACCAAACAATTTTAAAGCCTCATTTCAAAATGTTGTTCTTGTTATCTGACATAGGTTAGACATAGGTTAACAATGAAATTAAAAACACAAAAATGTTCATGAGAATTGAACTGAATTTCAATAAACTGTATTTGTAGTTCTTTCTAATTCCTCATACGAAGTTAGTTTCGTAGCATAGTCCTTTTTGTTAAAACTAACACCCACAGGTATCAAGAGCTGTGACCTCGGAAACCAAGAAATTGATATCAGTGTCTTTTTCCCTTGTCTCGCGTAATGTACGAGACAGGCATCTAATTATATCCAACTGTTTAGATGAGACATTGCACTATCCATTAAAATAGGAAATTCGGTTAACAAAAATGTTTCAAAAACTATTCAATCAATCGGTTTGATAAAAAGAAAGGATTAATGAATGAATTATTATGAGCCCATACGTGATTATTATGGAAATCAAATATGCCTTGTCTTGTAAAAGTTGCCTCGTCTGTCTAATGATCAAATAATGGATAAAAATTTATCATTTTCTGCTACTGGATTTACATACCACTCACAAAATTCAGCTCGGTAATCAATTTGAAATATTTCTTGTATTCAGTTGTTCCAAAATTAATGTCCCATTTTTGGATATAAAATAATAAACATCTTTCTATAAATAACAAAACTTTTATTCAATAATATATTGTCCATTATTTTGTACGACTTTTTTCCATCTGGTGAGCAATTGCATAATTCCCTCCTTCCAAAATTCACTATCCTTTTCGGCAAAAAATGCAGAAAATACACTCATTTTGCAAGCCTCTAGAGAATTAAAATTTTTGCTATTAAGCGAATTTTATGACGATCTAAATAAGTGATAATTTGAGGATGCTATATCAGCGGAATATGCTAGAATAAAAACTTTCCAGTTAAATTCCCTTAATTTTTTTCTAGTCTGCAACAAGTCTGGCATTGTCGTGGTGAAAACTTACACCTTTTCTATTAACTAATTCTGGCCGTTTTTTCTTGATATTTGCTTTCACTTAATTTAATTGATCACATTATTTCGTAGAATTTATAGTCTCATTTTGTGGCAGAAGCTCATAGTACACTATTCCTTTTCAGTCCCAATATCTTTTTCGAACAACATTATTATAGATGATCCATTTTTCATCACTCATGATAACCACTTCAAATAGGTTCGTCTTCATGGCGTTTCAATAGCGAATCACACGCAAAAATTTTGTCGACTAAATGCCTTTCCAACAAATTATGCGAAATCTAAACGTCATACCTGAAAACCAATCCAAGTTCGTGCAAGTGATATTGTACACTAGACTTCGATATCTTTAATTTCTCGGCAATTTCTCTGATTGTATAGCGTGGATTAGATTGAATTAGAGACGATATTTGGTCATTATCAATTTCGGACCGTTCCTCATCGTTTAGGTTGAAATGTCCATTACGAAATTTTATAAACCATCTTTGCACTATTCTTTACAACATCATCATTATAAACATCGCAAATCTTTTTTGTTGTTTGTATGGCATTTTGCCCTTTTCGGAAATAAAAAAGCATAATTACTCAAAAATACATCTTCACAGCCATCTCACAGCAAGATTAAACCAAAAAAATGTAATCCAAATTTAATGCTTTTTTTAAACTAACCATTTAAAGTGTTAACGATTATATTTGATACGTTAGAAGTTTCGTCACGGAAAAACGAAAGAGCATCATCTATTGCGAAAATGCGACATTATTTATGATTAACCCAATACAAATGCGTACACACTCTACTATCGTTTCGTAAAGTTCTCCAAATAGTACTTCGTGAAATTACAATTGAACTGAAGCTCATCGAATACTGAATGTAGCATGATTATCGGAAAAGCTTTAAAGTTCTATTTGAGCGTTGTTGTTGAATTGAGAGTGTATCAGAACCATATTGTTCTACACATTGTAGGTCAGACGTGGCTAATTGGTGGCCCGCGGGTCGCATGTGGCCCTCTACTTCCCTGATCGCTAAAACTATCCTCTCCATTGCGTTGAAAGTGTCACGGCCACTTTTTTTTTTACTGTAGTAGCTGCTAAAGTTAAAAGGAAAGATAAAGAAAGATAGTGAAAGTAGTTTGTATAACCCGCTGCGGCGGGACAGAATGAACAAAGTGGGAATTAACTTTCATTGACTGAGTGCTATAAATTATAATAAAATAAACCTGTTCTGCGTAATTGCAAATGAATGTTAATAAAAACGGAACGATGAGGTATTTTTCTCCCAGAATATCAACGTCCATACTCTTTTACGGCAGTTGGAACATTTCCGTTACCATAAATAAAATGAATATCATAGTATTCTTCATTAGTAAATATTCTTAGTATTTTAATGTAAGATCGACATTTTAGTTTAGCACTAACTGTAGAATATAATTAAGGATACTAGAGAATATATCTATACATATCTATCTATACATATCAAACAGTCGTCCGTCTGTGTACTCTATTGCAAATGCGTAGCTACCTATTTCATACATATTTATTTATAACTATCTAACAAGACGTTTCTTGACAAACTTTATATAACACATTTTTCTTCTTTTTATATTTATATAGATTAAACCTTATCCTGTACATATCTTTTTTTTAATCGTATTATTCCTTTTTCTCTTTAATAAATATATTGATAAATATAGATATAAATATGGAAACCACAAATTATTACAAGATGGTAGCAGTGTTATGGTTGAAAGCGGTTATGGTGATTTTGGACTAAAGTAAAATAGAGTAAAATAAAGTGAAAAAGAAATAAAAAAATCGTTGTGTAAAATTCCAAGATGGCGTATGTGAAAAGTAATGATATTTTAAACTTTTACACAACACAAAAATTACGAAATCATTATAGAAAGAAGGAAAGAAGAAACCGATAAGGACAAGCACTGGCAAGTTTTGAATGTGAAAACGACAAGGTACATATACAATGCAATTATTAATAAATATCCTGTTTGTACAATGTGTCTGTTTTAACTAAGAAGAGCCAAATAT